AGAGAGAGAGAGAGAGAGAGAGAGAAAGGGAGGGAGGGAAGGAGGGAGAGAAAGAAAGAAAATACTAATTGAGATTGATCAATCATTTATTTTGTACTTGAATATCAAAATAGATACAAGAAATTACTCCAGAAGATCAATAACTATGTCACAAATAAAAACAAGCATGCTTACTGATAGGCATCTGTGCACACGTACACACTCAGTGAAACCCGTGAGCAATTTACACACATATTCACGTTTTGAACCTTCCAAATTAATTCGACCTCAGTTTAACTTTTTCGAGTACTGCTAACATATTGCTTTTTTATTCCTGGATAGGGAGGGGGGGGGTGATGTTTGTTCTCGTAAATTCTCAAAATACTTTTGAGTTGGGGATGCATGAGGGGAGGGAGTGACAATTGCTCTCTACTGTCTGAGACAGAAGAAAAACAACCAATCAGCCCAAGCAGTCCTAATTAAATTTAAAAACACATATTTGTGTTAACGTGAACTTGGACCCCCAGTGTGGAACTATCATTTGGGGTCACCGCTCTATGCAAGGGCCACATTTGAGTCGCCATGATGCTGTGCGAGGGAGGGGCTTTTGGGGATAATGCAAGGAGGTTGTGAATATAATAATATAAGAAATTCTTTGTTAAGTCCTTGGGGTAACGGGTTCCAATGTAGGAAATGTAGAAGATGGTGCTAACTTGTACTATTGATAGTACAGGTACAAGTCAATGGGGATAGGCCATGTCACAGGTTAGACTTCTACTAGATCTAGTACATTGTATTACCAAGAGCTGGGGAATTATATCAATAGGCCTATCAATGTTACGTGTATAAAACCTACAACAGTGGTAGGAAAACAAAAAAGAGAACAAACTTTCAACGAACTTTCAAAGTATTTTTAAGCTTTGCGAAAAGTAGAATAGGTTGAGCTGTCAAGTATATTGCCCGCTTTATGATTAAATATCTTTGGTGCATCTTATTTGCATCCATACCACAAAAAAGCAATTAGGCCTACATTATGAAAAAACAAAAAACAGATTAAATAAAATATCGCCCCAACCGAAGGACGGAATAAACGGATGCGGAAGTTGAAATCGATTGACTGGGTTATCGTTCGTTCCTCTCAGTTTCTCAACCACTGGACTAGATCTCGATCAAGCCCCAGTGGATGCATTCTAAGTCGATTGAATGAGAACGTCCTAATGATGTTGTGACGATGGGAATCATCAGTTCTACAAACACGTCACCTTGTGTTGATAGGGGATTTTTGCGACTAACTACGGTCAGTAGAAATGAATACACTTTGGCGTTTTCCTAACCTGCTCTAATGACTAATGAAGTAATGTTTTGCTTCCATTTCCATCCCTTTCCATGACATGAGTATGAGTTTCATATTTCAATTTCATGATCTTAATTTCCTTTCAAATCAATGTGAAAAACTGTTTGTGCAGACGGGAGAACTTCCGTAACGAGCGACCACTTTGAGACAAAGCAGAATTGAGGGCTAGGGGTTTGGGTTAGGGTTAGGCCTCTTGTCTTAGACTTTTTATTGTGTTTGAGTTTGAGGTGAGGAAGTGGCTATGAGAATAGAAAAACGATCTACCTCTCACCCCGGGTGCGAAACAAGACCTGCTTTTCCTCATTTTGAAATACTTTCTATCGATGTGGATGATCAAATTGATAAAAGCCAAGAAAAAATTACGTTATAGCACAAAAGTAAGCTAATTTGATCGTCTTCAAAGATGCTATGGCTATTATTTCACTGTTCGAATCGAGCCGAACGACGCGGGTCGCCATTTTGTTTTGCCCTGAAGTTCTCGCAAGATCTACTCCTCCCCTCTCTCTCTCTCTGTCTCTTTCTGAATACTGTCTATTCGGTGTGGACGATCTAAATTGACCAAAACAATGTTAAAAAAGGCCACCTCTATTCTCACCCGGAGTGAGAATAGTGCAGGCGAGTCTTGTGGCTATTCTCACCCGGTGCGCGTTCACCAAATTTTGCGTTCACCCTAAACCACAGAATTCTACTCTGTGATCACAGAAAAATTGTAGAATTCTGTGCCGTGAACAGACGTTCCATTACAACTAGCCTACTAAATGCGTACAATTTTGTCTGTGGGCAGTGGAGAGAGAGAGAGAAAGAGAGAGAGGAGTAGCGCGAGAATTTCCGGGCAAAACAAAATGGCAACCCGCGTAGTTCGGCTTGGTTCGGCTCGATTCGAAAAGTTAAATAGCCGTAGCATCTTTGTAGATAACCAAATTGATTTACTTTTGTGTTTTAACATCATTTTTTAACTTTGTTTTGGTCAATTTGATCGTCCACACCGATAGACAGTATTCAGAAAGAGACAGAGAGAGAGAGAAGCGGGGAGGAGTTGATCTTGCGAGAAGTTCCGGGCGGGTGAGAATAGCCACTTTTGTTAAAAAATGATGTTAAAACATAAAAGTAAATAAATTTGGTTGTCTACAAAGATGCTACGGCTATTTAACTTTTCGAATCGAGCCGAACTTCGCGGGTCGCCATTTTGTTTTGACCGAAAGTTCTCGCGCTACTCCTCTCTCTCTCTCTCTCTCTCTCTCTCTCTCTCTCTCTCTCTCTCTCTCTCTCTCTCTCTCTCTCTCTCTCTCTCTCTCTCTCTCCACTGCCCACAGACAAAATTGTACGCTTTTAGTAGGCTACAGTTGTAATGGAATGTTTGTTCACGGCACAGAATTCTACAATTTTTCTGTTATCACAGTGTAGAATTCTGTGGTTTAGGGTGAACGCAAAATTTGTTGGCCTAGATCTAAGCTATAACGATGAACGCGCACCGGGTGAGAATAGCCAAAGGCTGATGTTAGGGGACCGTACGCCCCAATAGCGCTTGGCGCTAGGGGACCGTACGCCCCCATAGTGTTTGGCGCTAGGGGACTGTATGTCCTACCTGCGCTAAGGCGTGGTGTTACGGGACCATAGGCAGATGTGCATGCATCTGGACTTTGCAAAAATACAGGAGGAAAACGGCCAGTTTAACGAAGCTCCTGACGTAAGGAGTTATTACTAGGAGAATGTTTAAAATGTCTGAATACAATTGTGAGGTATATCTAGATCTAGTGGCCGTGGGTGAACCAAAATTTGAAATTTGTTCACGTCTGCACCCACGTTGTTTGTTATGTGTCAATAAAAGAAATCAAAGAGAGGGAGGGAGAGAAAGAGAGAGAGAGAGCGAGAGAGAGAGAGAGAGAGCGAGAGAGAGAGAGAGAGGGAAAGAGAGAGAGCGGGAAAGAGAGAGAGAGAGAGAGAGAGAGAGAGTGTGTGTTTGTGTGTGTGTGTGTGTGTGAGAGAGAGAGAGAGAGATGGACAAATTTACACAAACGCCGGAAATTTACTCACTTTTGCATGAGAGAACACGCTTGAGCACGCACACAGTTGTGATAGCGCGCAAGACGCAAGATCAACTCACATTCAGTGACAATAACAATAACATGAAAAGAAAGGGGGGGAAAAGACAGCTTGGGAAAGGTAGATGAAGAGCAGAGCAAACTATTGTAGAGACTTGACAGAACGTCGGGTTGTGAACTAAGCACCGACGAATTAAAGTTTATTTGCAAGCGCATTACACATAATATTATACGCCTGTCCACATTAATAATAACTGGACTACTTTTGCGCGCAGGTGCCGTGTAACTATAGAGCGGTCAAAAATTCATGGTGCAACTTTTCCTCAAATATCTCTTTTAACGGGAGAATCATTGTCACCCATACTTTGCACAGCAGTTTGTATTAAAAAATGTCTTAAAACCGAATCATATTTTTCCACAACAATTGAGGCTCGATAAAAAAAATGTTCTTCATAAATTTATATACAATACTAGGCCTATAAATCTCCATCACGCGAAAAATGTGATTGTTCATAGCACTTCTCGCACACATTTTGCATACGCATATGGCCTATGTCATAGCTCGCCAATGACACTTTTTAGTGGCAAAACTTCATACAAAAATGTTTTTTATGATGAACACATTCTTTTTACACTAAAGGTTTCCTCCTAAACATACGTTCAATGAGCATGCATGCTATTGCGATTGGAAAACAATGACAGACTTGCTTTTAAAAGCCATATTGCCGGAGCTGTAAAATTTTTAAAATTTGCAGAAACAATCGACTGGGATTTTTTATTAGAACTTATTAAGGAATTTTCTAGAATACAGTGAGCAGGAGTTTGAAACAATATTCACCTGTTAAGACAAATTGATATAAGTTATAAGTCACTGTGCAAAAGTTGGAGCCTATGTTCGATAGGTAAGGAGATATTTCACAATAAGTTGCGCCGTGCATTTTTTACAGCACTATAGGCGTAAGTTGGTATACTATGAATTTAATGTGTACTCTTAACTCATATTCCACGCAAGGCGTTACCTGATTAATGATCTCTTCTCGATCTAATAGCATAATTATACCCTGCCGACCCTATCGTTTGCCCCCACATTCCCTTCGCCAACTCGTCCCACCCCCCCCCCCTCTCTCTCTCTCTCTCTCTCTCTCTCTCTCTCTCTCTCTCTCTCTCTCTCTCTCTCTCTCTCTCTCTCTCTCTCTCTCTCTCTCTGTTCCCCCCCCCCCCTCTCTCTCTCTTTCTCCCCCCCCCCCCTCTTTGATTTCTTTTATTGACACATAACAACATGGGTGCAGACGTGAGCAAATTTTAAATTTTGGTTCACCCACGGCCACTTGATACCTCACAATCGTATTCAGACATTTTAAACATTCTCCTAGTAATAACTCCTTACGTCAGGAGCTTCGTTAAACTGGCCGTTTTCCTCCTGTATTTTTGCAAAGTCCAGATGCATGCACATCTGCCTACGGTCCCGTAACACCACGCCTTAGCGCAGGTAGGACATACGGTCCCCTAGCGCCTAACACTATGGGGGCGTACGGTCCCCTAGCGCCAAGCGCTATTGGGACGTACGGTCCCCTAACAATAGCCATAGCCAAAAGACTCGCCTGCACTATTCTCACCCCGGGTGAGAATAGAGGTGGCCTTGAGGTGATCTTATACTTTAGCACGTTAAATTCTTCAATTGAGGACTTCCGAAACGAGCGACCGCTATCAGATCTGGATCAAAATTCTATGTCATCAAGATGGAAGGACTTCCGTAACGAGCGACCACAATGAGACAGAGCAGAATTGAGGGGTAGGGGTAGGTCTAGGGATAGGGTTAGGGTTAGGCCTCTTCTTTATTGTGTTTGATGGGGTGGTTGCTCGTTACGGAAGTCCTTCCATCAAGATTATACTCAATGGCTTCCAAAATCATGATGGAAGACTGAAAACCACTGTTATACGATCTGTCCATGACAAAATTACGGTAGTTTGCATATTTTTAGGCCCAGTTCAAAGTTTTGAAGGTCTGAGTCGGGGATTAGTAGACTTTGGGAGTTTAACGTGCTAAAGTATAAGATCACAGTGTTTGAATCAAAGTTTGATGGGGTGGTGGCTCGTTAGGGAAGTCCTTCCGTGCCGTGCAGACTGTGGTGTCTGTGGTGTGGACCTGTCACGGTAAGACTAAAGAATACTGGACCAGGGGATTGGGATTAGGCCTACTTTTGCCTATTCAACCTTAGGCCTTAGGAATGTATGATTTGGGGAGGACTTCCGTAACGATAACGAGCGACCACTATAAGACAGAGTAGAATTGAGGGCTAGGGGTAGATCTAGGAGTGGGGTTAGGGTTAGGCCTCTTCTTGGTATTTTTATAGAAGCACTCCCGTTTCGCGTCACATCCACTAACGGAAGTCAGCTCTTTCACCACTTTAGTGCCGTCGGATATATACGAATAAGGTCAGGTTTTTTAAAGTTAAGGCCTCTTCTTTATTGTGTTTGTTGGGTTGGTCGCTCGTTATGGAAGTCCTTCCATTATGATTTGGCCACCTTGGATTCTTACCTCAGCCCGGGTGAGAATGACCCATGTCTCGCTATTCTGACCCCTCCCCCACCTGGTGAGAATATCTCCCTCCCCAGTGTGGGCATGGGGCGAGGACTCCCCCCTGACCTCTCGCAGGCGATAAAATCACCTAGGCCCGCATGTGGTTAGGAATGAATAATAATAATAATGTTAAAACATTTTTCGCCTCTCCAGTAAAAAAAAAAGGCTCTCTACTGACACTGAGCGGGGTGTGGGACCGGCCACCGGCCCGACCATTCGTTGTTTACACTCTTTTTTTAAAAAATGAAGGCTGGCCTCTTTTCACCCAACTCATTATGATGGTTCAAGGAACAGAGTTTGAAAACTGTGAACAATATCCCAGAAAACGACTGATAAAAAACTCTGAACTGGTCGCCGACTGTCAAATGCACAGCCAATGGCAGTAATAAATGTTGCACTAGTGGACTGTAGTCACCAGTAGTTTAAAATATGGTTATTCTCACGTCAACGATGCGCACGGAAGGGAGAGGGTATGAGTTGTCAGGACCACTGGTCGTGATGCATGCTGAGAGGGTTAATAAATCTCTCAATACTCTTAAAATAGTTTGGTGTTATTTTTTTTACCTCTGATATAGGGTCGGTGGAATTTTATAACGAGCGACCACTATGAAACAGTAGAATAGAGGGTTAGGGGTTGGGTCAGGGTTAGGGATAATTTAGTCTCTTCTTTATTATTGACAGTGTGTTTGTCGTGGTGGTCGCTCGTTATGGAAGTTCTCCAATTTTGAGAGGTCCATATGAATATGATATTGCAGGTATGGGGCGTGGGAGTGGAATTAAGGGATAAAGGAGAAAGTCTGTCTCTTATCCTTTGCTGCTGGTTACAGTACAGTCATCCACCTCTGCACATTTTATGAACATTTGCTGGATTTGAGTTTTAAATGAATGCATGTATGAGGGTAACCTTTACTTTAACCCTTACTTTATTACCCAAATTTTCATGTGAATAAAATAAAGTGTGCAGATTTGGAAGCTAAAGCCCTTGGCTTTGTCCCATGCATATGCCATAGATGGTAGAGGCAGCCCAAAACCTGTAGACCTACACCTTGGCCTTTCAGAGGCACCTGTTAATGAGAAATGATTTGATTTCCTTTTCTTCCAAAATAAATGAAAACAAGAAAATTTCTAGCATGAGAACTAGCACTCTGTCAATAGCCATTTTCTTTTGACCTAGTCCCTGTCATACCTGGAATTTAAAAAAAATAATAATTGCTTTAATAATTCAGACATCTTTTCCCCTTTTTCCAGGAGTGGCCATCTTAGCTCGAGATGTAGATCTATGTTATTTGTTATGCTGATTTGCAGAAAAGCTATTGCGGCCTAATTATAAAGTAAACTGTGCACTTAATTTTGTTTATTGACAAAAATGCTATCTTGAAGAATATATTGAAATAGTTTTCATCAATTTCAGAGAGTGACATCAAGCTGACATACACTGAAGTGTAAGGATCTTATCTGAGGGAAGGCATACAAGAAAAAAGAAGAACAATGGCGAACACAACTGTGTGTACAGACACATCTGAAGCTGTTGATCTCTTCGAGCCTCAAAATCTGTTCTTGAAACCAATTGCCAAGGTCAACATCTGTGTGCAGCTGCCTCAGCTGAAGGCTGCAGGGAAGACAATCTCAAACTGGGAGGTTATGGAAAAGGTTTGTCTAGTTTGGGGTTTCTTTTTTTCACTATAACTTTATTAATTAAGTAATTTCCCTGGAAAGGGAACAAAACTTTTACCAGCACCCTTTGTTGGGATGTTGTGTCCTATTTAGCCCATGTTGGGCCTGACGAGAAAGATCAAGCAAACGATAAATGATCTAGATAGTGTGATTGAAGGTATGTAACATACAATGTGCAGACTTGTGAGGACTTTTTAACCTGCTGGTAATACTGGTATTGAATGACATGATTTTTTTTTCTCTTTCAGCTCAAACACATGGTTCGCCCTGAGGTATTCCTTACCTTGAAGATTTTTAAAAGCACCATGGAATTCATCCGTTTGGAAGGGGAAATTGAAAATAAAAGCAAAATTCACAACATCATCTTGAAACTTGATGGCAAGACCATTAAGCTCAGTGGATTCACTGACATTCTCAAGGTATTTATTAAAATTATTATTTACTATTGAGCTAAGAAACGTCTTGAGAGAGAGAATTTGGCCTCTTTTTATTTTAATGTGTATGATCATTTTGGAAATGTATTCTGTCGTGGTCTTTCTGGATTAAGAGATTTATTGAGTTTCCAAGTCCTCTTCATTTAGATGATTTTATAATTCCTGACTATGTGTTGCAACAATAAGATAAAATAAGTGAAAGGTCTTATCCATTTTTTTGCATGCTGCCATTCACAGCAGTAAAAGACAAATGTACATGTACAAAGAACCCAAATGATTTATGCAGATGACATACAGTGTGTCTTTTATTCCCAAACCACAATTAATGACTCTCTCTGTACCATGTCCACATAAGAGAAGCACGACAAGTCCACATAAGAATAGCAATCCCCCCCCCCCCCCAAAAAAAAACAACAACAAAAACGCACACACACACACACCCTGCTCGTTTTTTCTGTCATACAATTATGCTGAATTAGTGGTTATTATTTTCACTCTCTTCCCTTTTTTCCTAATTAATTTTTATTGATGAGAAGAAAATCTTCAATGAACAATAAATTGATAGGAAAAGACTTGTGAAGCTTCCACTAAATCAGTCCTATTTTGTGTCTTATGACTGAAGGTGAGAGCAGCAGAGGCTAAAGTAAACTTCCCAAGCCGCCACGATTGGGACTCTTACTTTCGAGACGCAAAAAACATGAACGAAATGCGCCCAGGTGAGCGCCCAGATACAATCCACCTCAAAGATCTTCCAACCCGCTGGTTTTCCTACAGACGTTCTGACAGGGATGGAGAGAAAGAGTTACAACCATGTGAAAGTGTGGTGAAACGGGTTTTTCAAAGTTTTGGAGATATCCGCTGTGTGGATATACCTATGCTGGATCCTTACCGGAAGGAAGTAAGTGATGACAAAGTTACAAGGTTTTCTGTGTGACAGTAGGAAAAAAGTGTTGTCAAATTCTTTATTTATGAGAACTTTATTTTTCTACACAGCTTCTGTATGTGTGCGTGTTGGAAGTGAGTGGATTTTGCAGATCATCGTCTTCCGGTGCCTTGCCGACTGGCGTGTGAGATCATGGACCTCCACTTCCATCTGTCTTGCGTTGCAGCTATGGTGTCTGTTGTTCTTGCTGCTCCCAGCCATGTTGTCAACTTGTCCAGTATCTTTTCCCTCTGTCTGCCATGTTGTCAACTTGTCCAGTATCTTTTCCCTCTGTCTGCCTCTGCCTCTCTTTCCATCAAACTTGCCTGTTGTTACAATATTCTCCTATGCTTCTTTCCACATTGAGCGAAGACGGGATTGGGTTTTCGCATTTTTCCTTATTAAACAATTTAATAAATCAGCATAATTTTTGTATGAAGCTTTAGTTTTATTGTTTTCCTCTCCGGAAATAAAGATTTTCAAAATACGAAAATTGTTTTCAATGAAAAACTACTTTCACTTTGGCACTCTATGGAGTCCTAGAGACCTGATGACATCTTTTGACTTCCCTTATTATCAAGAAATACTAGATCTAGCAATGTTTGAGAGCTTTTCAATCCAGTATCATTATAATTAAGGAAAATAAAGATATCTTGATCTTGTCCTCATATTTTTGTGTTAAAGTAAAGTAATCTATACTTTTGGTGTAATTTTCTGTCACAATCAGTGAGCAGAAATGTTTCCCGAAATTATTATAATTACAAATAATTGTGCAGTTTGCCATACTTTTGTGGATCCTGAAAAGCTGTGTTTGCACTTTTTTTGTATGTTGGGGAGAATCAGGTGGGAAAAAAAAGAAATGCCAGTTGCACACAATGTTTCTGACATGAATTTTTCCTCAGGTCTGTGCCAATTTGAAGAAGAGCTCCATCCAAACATTTTCTTTTGGCCAAGATCTAACCTTCGAATGTTTCATCCAGTACATGGATTATATCAGCTTTGTCAAAGCAATGGATTCCCTCCGTGGCATGAAACTCCTGTATAAGGGGGAAGACAAAGCTCTGACTGCTATTGTCAAAGTAAGTACGGCTGATAATTTTTCAAAAATTTGTTTATTTGCAATACACATTCATTTGCCATAGTTGGTTAGTCACCTAATCTTAATCTACTGAGGTTCTGGAGACTCCTGTTTTCTTCTGCCCAAACTCAGATTTTTAGATAGGAATCTGAGGAAAACTCCCTATTTTTGGTCTTGGAATGGTTGGCAGGTCTGCGTCTTATTGAAAGAACACAGTGTACATCTCAACTGCTCAGTGTAAGTCTCTATCATATGTCAGTTTTCAAATAGAGTATGGCAGAGTCTTACACTAAGGCGTCGATCTTTTTATTGACAATATTCTGCTAATCATTTGTGAGGTGTGCTGACAAAATTTCTCGGATTTGAGCATCATGGAAATTGATACATCAACTTGATAGGTGAAGTTTGTACAATTTGTGAGCTTGGAATAGTAAAAGACACAGTAAACTTGAACAAAATGGCATCAATTGAAAATCTATAAATCTGACCCCCAGTGTCGATTTTCATCCGATCTCTCCATTCTTGGATCGTGAGAAGTAACTCATTTTGTCAGCACATCTCACATTTTATTGTTCCTAATTTTTCAGAGTACATGATGTTCACTTCTATTTGTATATATTCCCTGATGGTCTTGTTCTGGGATTCATTTTTTTTGCAGGTTGATTTTGACAAAACGAAGCATTTGTCTGAGAAAAATATCCGCAGACGGCGGATTGAGAGAGAGAAACTGGAAAAGCTAGAAATGGAGCGATTAGAGAGAGCAAGGCGAGAGAAGGAAGATGAAGAGAGAAAAAAAGAGGAAGAAAGGTAAGCTGTTATTCACCGCTCTGATTTGGATAGGTTTTTCAGACTATCAGGGTCCCCACCAGGTCGGGAAATTGGGAAAAAGTAGGGAATTTTGAGATAGGTAGGGAAAAATTCGGGAATTTTGTGATGGGTCGGTAAGTCGGAAAAGGATAGGGCCTGTGTAATATTAGTAGTGTGGCTATCTTGACAGTATGGATGATGAATCATGAAGAGGAAACGTAATTGAACCATTATCACGGCGGCAGGCGGAAGTATCTGACACCGAGGCTCGATCGGGAAGAATCAAGATCTACTTTCGCTTTCATTTACCACCCAGATATTTTCCGGTTATAGTCTGATAGATAACACAACATTAATTTGTAAGATGCAGGTTGTGCATTACGAACGCTGTGTGGCCTTGAAAACAAATCAATATTAAAAATTTGTCCTCTGCTGTCACTTGTGAAAAAAGAAAAGAAAGTCATACAAGCGTCTTGTCACGTTCGCCATCGTGACCGGTCAATGAACCTGTGAGTGTGAGTACCGGCGGTCTGAGCGCTCTGAAGTATAGGACTTCGGAATTGGGGGCGGGGGGGGGGGGGTTGCTTTTTTGAAATAAGATACACTCAGGGAAGGGGATGGGGAGGGGGGAGCAACACTAGAGGTCAAAAACTTAACTTGGAAGCAAATTTTTAGTATTTAGAATTTTGAGAACTAGCTTACTATAAGAGCTCTCTGCAAAGGGAGCGTTGGTGCAGGCCTTGTGTGGAATCGGGATCCGTCGGATCATGCCTTGTTATGGAAATAAAGTGTTCGCGTTTCATTGGATGGGGTGATTGTTGTTTATATCTATATTTTAGCTTTCTGTTCAAGATTGTCAGATTTTCAGTGTCACTGTATCTTGCCCTCCCTCAGTTCTTACACCTCTCACACTGAATAGGTCTACTTGAGCCATTCTAGTTATTACACTAACATTACTCTACTTTGAGTTTGAGCAATAGTTTTCATCTTCACATTTATAATATGAATCATGACACCCAGACTGGTTATTGACAATCGATATTCTGGTTCTAGGTCTTTTCTCAGGCTCACAACAGGATTCATAATTTAAATAGGGCCTATAGTTTATGTAGGCTAATATGATGAGGGGAAAATATAAATAAGTAAGAACAGACTGAAATACCAAAGTCACACAAGATCCCAGTGCCACACTGACATGTTGTTGACTGGATATAGTGAACCTACGTGTGTGTGTGTGTATTCACAAACATGTACATATTAGATATAAATGGAGCATGTGCTGTCATTGTTATGTAGCACGCCCCTGGAAAATAGATGAGGCCCCTCCCTTGGAAAGTTGAGAAGCTGGGTTGGCAGTCATCCAGCATTATAATCATCTATTGTTTGAAGACTATACTACAAAATGTACATTTGCATTCATTTAAAGACATTTTGACTTTTTATCATTGATAGATGGGCTTTTTGGGGATCATTCTTGACGCACAGCGGCCTGATTTTTCCCTTGAATTGGGGTCTTGAAAAAAATTTGGGGGTCTTGAAAAAAAAATCCAGGAATTGGTGGGGACCCTGGACTATTCATACTTTGCTCTGATACAAATTCAGCTAGTGGCAGATGAGTTTTAAGTAAATCGTTTACAAGTCTTTCAAAACAATGCTGCTAGACTGATAATAAGAAGTAAAAAAACAAGACCATGTCACTCCACTATTAAAAGAACTGCATTGGCTCCCTGTTAAAGAAAGAATAATATTTAAAATCTGTGTCATGTGTTTCAAATGTGTAAATAAAACTGCTCCTTTTTATCTACAAGAACTTATCAGTATATATAAGCCTGGGAGATACCTAAGATCATCAAATGATAACACTGTACTTGTGATACCAGTAAAATCATACAAATCATATGGAGAGAGATCTTTCTCATGTCTTGGTCCATTTATGTGGAACAGATTACCCATGGAACTAAGACAGACAAGAACACTTTATAGCTTCAAAAGACATCTTGAGCATTTTCTGTTCGTACAGGCTTGTCCTTCATAAGCTTTTAATGTTATTTTTAATTATTGTTGTTCGGTGCCTATGTCTGAATGAAAATAGTCTGTGTGTGTGTGTGGAAATATATATTGCATGAGAAGGAAGGAAGTAGTAAGAAAGGTTTTGAAAATGGGTATTCCACTAATTCCAGTGTACAGCGCTTTGAGCTACTTTTTTGGAAATGCGCTATATAAATGTTCTATATTATTAAGTCATAAATCTCATCTCCGCTGGGAAAACAAGAGAATGGGAGGCTTTTCATTTTAAGACTTCTCTGTCGAGAAAACACCATGAAAATAGATGAAAACGAAAAAAGACAGGAAATCAGGGGAGCTGCTCATCATTACAAATTTGGCAGAATTGAAACAATTTGTTGGGGGGTTCAATTTACATACGATTGTTTGGCCTTTGATTACAATTTTCAAAAAATGTATTTACCATTCGGTTGCCTCAACCCATTCCCTCCTTCCGGGCGTATCAGGAGGAAACAGAGTCAAACCCCTTCTGTGTACCTCACTAAGCCACATGCAGCTGTTTAACTGTTTTGAGTCAATGCACCTTGCCCAAGAACACGCCATGGCATCCAACTTTTAATATTAAAGGCATTTCTCTGAGAACCTTGTCTTAATCAACAGATCGAGTGGTGGGTTGGCAGGTGCTCCTTCTTTCCTGTCAAACACGTGTCGTCTTTATCTCTTTTCCTTTTTTTTTTGTTTGTTACTCTCTTGTAACACCTTTAATCTTCAGCACCTATATCGCCTAATTGTGTTGCAAGTGCCGTAAAACTTTTACTAAAACAAAAAACAACAGCTTGATCATTACCTACTGTTGTTTTCCTCTTCATCTGTCTGCCCATTCACATGTTTTTGTAGACAAGTTCAAGAAAGATTATTTGAAACTGAACTCTTATGAGCCTTTTTTTTCGCCACTTATGAATTGACAGAATTGTACATGATTGATCTATTTTACCATTTTTCTGTTTCTAAGGAGGAAGAAAGAAGAAGAGGAAAGGGAGAGAGAGAGAAGGCGCCAAGAAAAACTCCAGAGAAAAGAAGACCGTAGAAAAGAAAGAGAAGAAAAGCGGCGGCAAAAGAAGTTGGAAAAGAAGCAAAAGGAGGAGGAGGAACGCATGCAATACAAAATAGCTTTGGAGGAAAGAAGGCTTCTTATTGCACAGAGAAAGTTGGAATCCTTACGGATCCTCTCGGAGCTGTTTGAAAGAATAAAGGTACGCTTGGTCTGCTTTGTGTTCATTCTGACGTGCGTGGGTCCCAAAATGTTTCATGTCAGATCTATGTAAATGGGCGGACTTAACACCCCCTTTTCAGCAATGAAAGGTTATTTCAGAGGCAGGATTTTTTAAATTTAGCGTCCATCCTCAATGGGACTGGGCCAAATAGGCGCAGAGCCTTGAAGCTCCCCGAACAGTCCAAGTTCAAGGATTACCCGACTAGGGATTCACACCAGGATCATTCGCACTCTAGCTCAGCATGATACCGTGTCAGGTCTGTTGAATACATTTGTGACTATTCTTGAGAAAAGTGCCACTCAGTCAAAAGAAGTTCATTGGTATTTGAGATAACAGAGGGTAAATTTTTTTTTGTCATTCCTAAGAAGAAACTGGCTGTACTATCTCCAGCTTTTGCTGCTCAAAATATCTATGTTGAATCGTAGACTAATGCCCTGCTGACAAGTTATAATTTTGTGACTTTGTCTAAATAATATTGAGTCTCTTTCATCATGACCTTAAAAGTGTGCAAGATCTGAAATTGTGCAGTTTTAGGTTATAGTTGAAAGTTTGATAGGTTTGCCTAATTTTTTAGAATTATAAATACTATTGATCAGCCAAGAATTACAACATGTGAAATGCGATGCCTTTTTTTACCAAATCTCCTTGAATTTTAAAAATTTCTCCTTGAAACTTCCCTGAAACCTCCTTGAATTTGATGGGATGTTCATGGCAGGAACCCTGTACCTGGATAGATGGAGTCAGGGAAGCATTAACCACCCACGGCATCTCCATGACCCAAGCTCTCCGTCTGGCGACAGAGAGACGTCTCTTTCTTCCTGCGACACCCAAAAGGGTATAAGCGACGGATTAGAGTAAAAGTCCTTGAAAACTGCTTGAATTTGCTTTCAAGGAAAAATCTCCTTGAAAACTCCTTGAATTTGCGTTCTAGGAAAAATCTCCTTGAAAACTCCTTGAATTTTGCCAGATCGGACAGGAACACGTGTACAGGGTGACTGCCAAGCCCCCGGCCCCTGGAATTACCCAACAATTTGAAAAAAATCGCCGAGATTCGGAATGCAACGGGAATTTGAAGAAATCTGTAAATTGCCCCGTGAAAGACCCGCAGAAATACATAAAAGTACTCTAATATATTTGAAAACCAAATCCGATAACGTCCTTGAGTTCATTTTTGCCGGTCGCGAATGTGATATATTTATTCGGCCTTTCCCGGCCTGAGAGTACGTTACACGCGCACATGCGGTAATGGCGGCAACAAGTGGAAGTATGTGCGATACCGGAGCTCGATCGGGAAAATCAAGATCTACTTTCGCTTTCGTTACCACCCAGAAATTTGCCGGTAGGGCCTATAGTAGTCTGATAACGCCACATTTGTAACATGCAGGCTCTGCATAACATACGCTGTGTCGCCATGAAAATAAATAATTTGTCCTGTGCTGTCACTTGTGTGAAAAAAACAACAGAAAAAGAAAGTTGTACAAGCTTCTTGTCGGGCTCGCCATCGTGACCGGTCATTGAAGCTGTGCGTTTTCGTCACATCGTGAGTATCGGCGATGGTTGAGGTCACCAAAGTTCATGCAAAGTTTGAGCGCTGCGAAGTATAGGACTCGGGAATGGGAGGATTATTGATTTTTTTTAAAAGACACGCCGGGGGGGGGCTGGGGCTGGAGGTGGAAGGCAACACCGGATGACAACAAAACTGAACATGGAAGTTGGTAGATCTCGTAGATCTCTCTCTGCAAAGGGCGCGTTGGTGCACAGTCCTTGTGTAGAATCGGGATCCATCATACTCAAACCGTCTAAGCCATGTTCTTTTTACTATAGGGTTCCCGTTTCATTGTGTAGGTGATAGTAAATTATATGTATTGTATATTTTAGCTTTCTGTTCAAGATTCGCAGATTTTCAGTGTCACTGCATCTTGCCCTCCGGCAGTTCTTACACCTCTCGCTCTGAATAAGTCTACTTGAGCCATTCATGTTATTACTCTACTTTGAGCATAATTAATAATTTTTGTCTTTCACGTTTATTATATAAACCTTGACACCCCAACTGGTTCTTGACAGTGGATATTCTGGTTCTAGGCCTACCCTCAGGCTCAAAGCTAGATTCATTTTTATATAGTTTATATATTATAAGCGAATATGATGAGGGGAAAATATGAATAAGTTAGAACAGACTGAAAAGCCTAAGTCACAGTATCCCAGTGCCACACTGACATCATGTTGTTGACTGGATTCAATGTACCTACATGCGTGTGTGTGTATATATTATATATAATATATAAATGAAGCATGCACTGTCGTTGTTATGTAACATGCCCCTGGAGAATGGATGAGACCCCCCTCCCCCCTTGAAAATTGAGAAGCCGGGTTGGCAGTCACCCTGGGAACAGTTTTTCTAGGAAAATCGAAACTATGAATATGATATGATTCCTTTCGGACAAGTGTTGTTTTTTTTTTTTTAATAGGCTTTCGTCATGAATTTCTTGACCAAATCTCCTTGAATTAAAAAAATTTCTCCTTGAAACCTCCTTGAAAACTCCTTGAATTTGATGGGAAGTTCATGGCAGGAACCCTGAGTAAAGTAAATTGATCTGCTCATGGAGTGACACGATATGTTGCAGAGAAAGTGCTGTGTTTCACTGTATGATAGAAATAACAAAATGTAGTTCTGAGAATTCAACTGCATAGTCGTAGAATGATCTGCTCCTTCCAACTCTTTTTAGTGTTATTATGGTTATAATCTGTTTCAAACTAAAGTTGTCCTTTTTACATGGTGACTACAGCTCACAGAATCAAAGCTGTAAATATTATGACTTGCCATATTTCTCGGATATGAATCAATCCTTTTGTTTTTCAGGCAATCCGAGTGAAAAAGTATCTGGAGCAGAAGGAGAAAGAACTTGAAGAGGAGAGAAAACAGCAGGTGGAAGAAGAAAAGAAGCGAGTCCTGGAGGAAGAAATGAAGAAAGCGGAAGAGAAAAAGCAGAAAAAGATGAAACTCCAAGAACAGGTAGTTTAATAATGTCTGCTTGTAATTGTAAAATTGCTGTGAAACCTGTGAAAATAGCTGACTTTGTTATTCTGGTAACATATCCGAGATTTTGAGTTATAGTAATCAGGAGACTGTTTATACCTTTCAAAATCATCTCATCTTTCTGAATGACTCAAAGATGCTACAAGTTATTTCAGTTGTCACATCTGCATTAATTGAGCTCCTTCCGAAATGTCAGAAATGTAAAATCTAGGTAAATTTTTAACGATTTAATTGTCTTGCCATATACAGTCGAACCATTACGGCCACCTGTACAATCAGCCACTTTCCATTTCCCCCTTTACGCTTTTTCTATATAATTTAACTGTGTAAAACGGTCACCATGCCAACGCAGCGGCGGCCACCTTATTTCATCAACCCACTGTCAGATTTATATGCCTCAGACGGCCAGGCGTGGTTACTCATTGCCCGACGCTTTGTCATAAATTTTGAATCAGCCTCTCACGTTGTGGACAGGCCGTCATAATTCATTCACCTGTCGTTATTGTTGGTTCCTCCAGTTAATATTTACTCCGGTTGACCAATGTGTAGGCCTAACAATACATTTTCAACTGCTGCTGAGGGAAGCATGATCCATCATAACCTATAAGCCCCGCCCACAACTCAAGCACAAATCATGTGTGAGGTCACTGTTTTGTTTACCTAATCTGTAACAAAGTAACAATGGACGTTAACATGAACTTGTGACAGAAGCGTCGCTCGTTTTCCGAGTGGTGGCGGCCCGTGTGTTTGTTTTACCATGGGGCTAGGTCTTCATCATCTTACTTACATAATATTTCGTTTATTTTACCCTTGCACAAAATCAGGAAGTAAAAGAAAGCTTACCAACCAAGCAAATGAACAAAACAACACACAAAAAACCTTCTTACACCACCACCCACTCCTTTTTCTAAAGAAAACAAAACCCTTTTGATTTAGCCTTAAGGCAGTCTTAAGTCTGAGATCAGCCGCGATTTGGACCTCAGAAGAGAATGATTTGCTTTCTTCAGTTTGACCAGTCCTGCCTTAGACGGCCACCTGTGTTGTACAGCCACTTTTCTCCTTGACAATGGGTGGCCGTTTTACACAGGTTTGACTGTACTTGCTTAGTGTACAGTGTGAAATGTGAAACTGGTGTGTTTGTTTTTATTTTTTACATCGTCAGCTCATGAAGGGCTCTTATGTTACATTGGTCACTTTACTTTTTTGTGGTTTATGCAATTTTTGTTGTTGCTGTTGGTAGTAGTTTTTTTTTTTGATTAGCTGCACATTTAGCTTTACTAATATTGTACTATCTTTGTAATTATATATTTGTTTCTTATTTTTTCTGTGTTCTTAGGAGCAAGAATTAAGGAACAAAATCTTGAAGAACTTCAAAGCCAAAGAAGAACAGAAACAAGAAATGCAGAGGGAAGAGCTTCGGTAATTGCACAGCTTTTTGAAATTTTCAAATATTTTTGGGGGGGTCTCACTTGATGATTCTTTTTACTGCTTTTCCTGTGTGTTCCAGGTTCGTTTGTTTGTAAAACTCCTGGGCCTTCCAGGTTGAGGTAGTAAAGAGTGGGGAGTATGCTGATACCCTCCATATTCTTTACAAAATTGTAACAATCAGTCTGTTTCCTGGCGATAACATGGTGCTATTTCATCACTCAAACTAAAGCTTTTGTATTGTTTTGTTTTTTTGTTTCAGTTGGGGGGCAGGGGGGAGGGGGTTGAATTCAGTTAGGGAGGATAATTGACTCAGGATATCAAAATTTCCATGCCACACCAGCAGGATGTGCGATCCCCCTATGAGGATTAAAAATTTTGTTTCATTCCTCATTGACACTAGTAAGATTATTTTGGAAACGGGCTACCACACCCTTCCTGTCCAGGCCAATCTGGGCTGAGAAGGATGCAGCTTTTCAGTAGACAGACAGATACTAGACATAAATAACTTCACAGACATGGAATACAACTAATGTCTTTTGTGTAATGCAGCGAAGAGCGTAATCATTACACCGCAGACTTTAGTGCAACCCCTCTACTGCTGGAAAAGAACAGATGAGAATTAATACTCCCATGAACGTGTGCGTTGTTTAGTTTATTGTCTCCTTTTTCTTTCTTTCTTTTTCTACTTCTTCACTTGTCTTTGCTCTTGGCTCTGGACCAAGTGCTGCTCCTTCTAAAGAAATACATTGTGAGGGACTCGTGTGAAACGCATTTGTAGTGAATATTTTCAATCTGAGAGGTTATAAATTACTGATGCCCCTTCCAGCGTTACTGTTGTTCAGGAGGGGAACCTCTGGACTTGTTGTCATTCTCTAATAAAAGCAGATCAAGTAGGCAGAAAGCCTTTGAAATTCCAAAAATAAAATTCTAAAACACCCTATTGAGGATTTGAACAAGAACCATTTGTACCATAGCTCAGCTTGACACCGAGCAAGTTGAGGGTATGCCCTACATGGTTTGTACAATTTATCACGTTCTAATGGGAAGTGAAGCTGAGGTCTGTATTCTCATCTTTTCAGGAAAAAAATTGCTGGTACCAGAAAGCTTAAAAGTGCCGTAATCATGAAAAAAGCAGTTGCAAAAGCAGTCAAAAAGAGGAAGAATGAGCCAGGCAGCACAGATGAAGAGAGTGACGATGATGAAGAAGAGGAAGAGGATGATGACAGCAAAGATATGGGTATCAAAGCCAAAGACACATTGAAGTCCAGCAAAAGAAAGAGTGGTAATACAGGGTCTCCTGTCTCTAAGAGAATTTTCATTAGACGTGAGCCACTGAAAGCGGGGTCACAAGGTACCTCGTCAGCTTTAGGGCGGCAGAGCTCTGGGTCGGCCGTGTCTTCTGCGGAGGATTTCTCAGATGATGAAGATGAAGCAGATGAGAGAGAGGAGAAAGGTCAACGGTAAGTAGATTAAACTTTTATTCTTGCTTTAGCTTTAGCTTTTAGCTTTTAAGTTTGACCTTCATGCCATCCACCATTATTGAATGCGAACAAATGAGATTCCCTAAATTTGTAAATGGAAGATTAACATCCCATTCATAAGGCGCTGTGAAAATTATTTGGCAGGTGGGCAGGTTTTTTTCCAAAGCCTTTCAACGTTTCAACTTTCAGTGCATGGGATGACAGAAGGATAGGAAACAAGAGTAACGTTCTAGTGGCCTCTTTCAAACAACCTATCCTCTAGATTATAATAATTAACAGGAGTTTTGCTTTATATGTATTTTGATTAAGGAGTAAAATGATTTTTAGATATAAAGATTCCTTTTGTGTTGCTTCACTCTGTTGAAATGAAGGTGGGAAGTTATGGGGTTTGTTTTTCGAGGGGGGGATATTCTTTTCTGTGAGCTCTTGACATTGTTTTATACGGTATTCTGTTGTTGTTATTCACTGTACAGGAATGAAGACCGTGAACTAGAAAATGATTGGTGTCTTTTACTTACACAGTGAACTATTTTAGGGACTGACAAATGTGTTTGACACGTCCATTTTCGGGTAAACGGATAAACAAAAGCTTCAACAGATTTTGAAGAAAAAACAAGGGAAGTAACTGTGACTAAAAGATGTTCATTTTCAGTTTTCACTCACTCTCAAGCAAAAGAAATTACTAAACTTTGGCGGCTATTTTTTTTTTATTTGACCTATGAAACCAGGTGGCCCCCACCATCTTCAATCACCAATATCTCGATTTGTACCCAACATAAATGGATATTTTTTTTCCTTGAAAGCAAGGCGAATGGGTAGGCTTAAAGATAATGCCAATAACTCTATATGCCCAAAATTGACGAGTGCCTGATTCCACCTCGTCATGACACATACAGACGAACCTGCTCTAACGGCCACCTATACAAACGGACACTTTCCATTTCCTCCCTTGTGTTTTTTCTTTTAAATTTAACTGTGTAAAACAGGCACCTGTCCAAAGCGGCCGCGGCCACCTTATTTTAACACACAACCCCTGTCACACTAAGCAATAACACCTGTCTTAGACGGCCACCTTAGTGACTCCATTACGCTTTGTCATAAATCCAGCATTGGCCCCTGGCATTGTGGGCGAGCCGTCATGATCTAATCACCTGTTGTTGTTAGGTAGCCCCTCCAACTGATCATGTTGCGTAGGCCCCTCCCGTTGTTGACCAATAGGTAACAAAATTAATTTTCAGCTGCAGGTGAGGGAAGCGTGTGATCCCTCATAACCTAGAACTGCATGTTTGCCGACAATCGTCTGAAATCCGACAATGGCGAGGCGGCCGATGCTATCGCTAGGCCCACCTGTATCAGTCAATGTGCGAAGTGCGAGGCCTGGCCAACTGCCAGCGTCCCCCTTTTCTCCCATCGGCTTTGTCGTCACTTTCGTTTTCGTGCCGACTGCCGACGTCTGCGTTTCCAACATAATTGTCGGAACCTGAGTAGAAATGCGAATACAAAAAAGGACGACGACCTAAATTATCTACTTTCAGTTTCGTGCTGGAGCGGCCATTTTGAATTTTGTTTTGTTGACAAATTCAATTGTTCAGATCGTGTGGATTCATTCCAGTCTGACTCACTTAGATAATAGGATCTAGATCTAGATCTAGATTTATATAGTTCATTATAGACCTCAATGGAGGATTCATATTCCAATTCTATTTTGTCAAACCCTATCATAGGTTGTGCTGTAATATTAATGTTGGTAAAAGGCATTTCATCAGGTGCGTGAATTATTTATTTACTTAGAATTTAGACTCAGCTGAGCCCCTCTGTTCTGAACCGGATGCGGATTTCTAGTTCAAGGCCTATTCCTAGGTCCTATTCACTTGTTCTACAAGATCTAGATTTATTTAGTTTACTAGATCTATGTGGAGGATTCATATTCCAATTCTATTGTGTTATTGTATCAAACCCTATTATTATAGATCTAGCAATATGTAGATGTAGGCCATTATATTACGAAGTGACTATTTCTCCGAACGTTCGGAGAAATAGTGCCGATCTTTATTTCTCCGAACGGTTTCCGGCTTCCGGTCTCGTGATTTTTTGCCTATTTATTGCGAGAGTTCGGCGCCAACTTTCATTCTGCCCCTCTGGTCTGGGAAGGAACACCGCATGGCAAGTCCGCCTACATACACCCTTCAGTAACACCCACCGCACACCCACCACCATCATGCACATGTACACACACAAACATACACACACCAACTAAACATGATCAGTGAGCAACTTTTGAACGTATGACGAGCTGAGCTGTGGGTGGAGAGACAGTGTGAGTGGAAGAGCAGGTGAAAGGAAGAATGAACGAGTGTATCCCCAGGCGACAGCAAATACAAGACGAGGACACCGACGACCCCCCCCCCCCCCCCGGCCTGGTCCACAGCTCACGAATGAAAGGAATGTGGCTAAGGCAGTGCCTATATTATTGTCCATGGTTCGCAGGGTGCAAGGGAATGAATGAGATTTTCTTTGTATGTGCCTGGAGGGAGGGGGTGGGGTGTGAAAGTCATGCGGACGGGGAGAGAACACGGGAATTAAATGGATGAGTGAAACTGAAAGAGAGGAACGACTCATGAGCCCTGGAGTGAATGGATCCTGTGTTTCTATTTTTGTATACTTTGAACTGTCATGGTACTGAATAAAGGCTGAAATAAAGCCCGAAAAACACACACACACACACTCCTCACTCTCCACTTACACACTTACTACCACACACAGACACACTCACACACACACATGCATACACACACACACACACACACAGGATCAAATTTTTGGGTCTATATCTATGTCAATTTTCAAGGACTAGTCTAGAGATTTTTAGATGAGTGTAAAAACGTGAAAAAGAAAGGTTTCACAACCGAATGAAATCAAAATTAAAACAGCCCATAAACAACCACAAAAATTAACAAATAAGGGCGTGTGTCCACCTGTCCGAAGAAGATTGGCTGTTTTAACCATAAATGTGCATAATTTTTTTTTAAAGTACAGGATATTACATGTAAATTATGGAATCACACACATTAAGGGGCCTGCCAGTGTCAGTCCATGTAATCGGTTTTAGTGGAACGTACGCTCTAACATAACACATTTAAATATATATATATATATATATACACATGTATATATATTTAGAATCTAATGAAGGTAAGAACATCAAATTAAATGACGTTACACTATGCAACACCCCCCCCCCCCCCCCCTTTCCCTAACAAAAAAAATTGATAGAAAAACAAAACATCAGAACAATAACAAGAAAAAAAATTACACACTAACAAAATAAAACACCACGAAGAGTCAAAGAGGGAAAAATAAAAGTAACTGTAACGTATTCAACAAATCAACGTGGTGACAACAAATGACTTTTATTCCCCTACCAAAAAATGCCAAAAAATCGAGTCACGATTGATTGGTCGCGGCCGCGACAAACGCAGAAGCTAGTTCTACGTGTCATTATCAATAACCCTCCGTAGATCTAGATCTAGACAGCACACGAGTGAACACAACACATTAAGTTTAAGAGCAGCACCCTTCATAGGCAACACGTCATATCTGTAGCGAAAAACTGTTTGGAACTGTAGCATTTCTTTATATAAATATTTATTGCGGACATTTTTTTTGGACCGATTGAACCATATTGTATACGAACAATCTTTGGTATGCCTATACTCTATATAATATCCGAAATTTGCGGGAAAGGGTGTGATTTCAGAATGTTCGGAGAAATAGTGCCCAGCTTTATTTTCCCGAACGTTCAGAGAAATAGTGCCCAGCTTTATTTTCCCGAACGTTCAGAGAAATAGTGCCCAGCTTTATTTTCCCGAACGTTCGGAGAAATAGTGCCGGCCATTATATTATGCTCTTTGTAAGCCTTGTTTGTTTTGGAGTGTGGTTTTTTAATTTTAAAAATGTTTTTCATTTTGGACTTTTGCTGGCCTTTTCACATGAGGCTCGTTGCAGGTTCTTTTTTGGGGTAGGGGTAGGGTTAGGTCTCTTTGTTGTGTTTGTTGGGATGGTCGCTCGTTACTCGGAAGTCGTTCCTTATGACACCCACAAAAGCTCTTTGGGGGGGGGTTGCGCAAAATTTTCAGACAATCTGGTTGAGGCTCGCATGCAGGTCTAATAACCTATAAGCCCCGCCCAGAACTCATGCACAAATCGTAAGTGAGATGAGTGGTCACTGTTTACCTAGTCTGTAACAAAGTAACAGTGGACGTCAGCATGAACTTGTGACAAAAGTGGCACTCATTCTCAAGTGGTGGCGACTCGTGTGTTTGTTTTACCATAGCACTCGGGCCTCCTTGTCTGAAACATTTCATTTTATTGTCACCCTTGCACAAAAGCAGCAACAAAAGAGAAAAACAACCGAAAACAACAACAAAAATAACAACAAAAACAATGCGACTACCTTCTGTTGGGACCTCAGAAAGGAATGGTTTGTTTTCTTCATCTTGATCAGTCCTGCCTAAGACAGCCACCTGTCTTATACGACCACTTTTCTCCTTGACAGTGGGTGGCCGTCTTACACAGGTTCGACTGTATTAAGAATTTAGTAGAGCAGATTTGCTGCTCACAGCTGTTTGAGTGATAATGCTGTTTCTCATTTTGAACCTGTCTAACCGTCCTGTCTTGCATGTGAAGTGAAGGCTAAGTTTCTGTGCGAATTCGACTGTTTTGTCATCAGAATGGGTTTAGAGATAGGAAAGGGACATGGTACTGGAGCCAGTGAAACGATGCCAGCTCAGTGTTCTCAAATTTGGTAAAACACTCGCTTTTTATCAGGTTGGCATTCAGTGCTGGCGTTTTCGATTTTGTCTCGAATCTTTTTTAAACATGGAAAGCTTTGATTTGGGGATACCAAATCTCTTACAATTACAAATTGCTTGACGACTTCTGGTAAAATCTGACACTTGGTTTCTATTATCAGACAATTAAGTTTCTCTCCTCAACCTCATGAAAAGTGCCTGATATCGATAAAAGGATAGAAGAATGGATAGTGCTTGCGCTTTGCTCAGTGTTGAAGCAAGATAAAGGAAGAGAGAGTTGCTGTTGAACCTTGCAACTAAAATAAAATTGCTTTGACATTGTAGGCTTGACAACACTGTTCAGAGCACACTATTCACCTCTCTTGTGTAATCTGTATTAACTATTATTGTCCGACCCATACCTTCATGTACAAACAATCGCTCAGACACATGCATGGTCAAAACACAAACATAATTCACACACCGTATGGCCAAGTGTAATGCAGTACTGCCTGTCTTTTATCACACCCCACCAACCATCCTTGCATGACTATTTTCAAGGAAGTTTTAGTGCCTTACACACACCACAGGTGAAGTGCGGTGATGCATCTTGTTACCTGTAACGTGTTTAGGGATAAACCTGGCTGGCTCATGCAGCCTGATACTCTCAATGACGATGGATGTGTTTTCTCTTGTGCATGCAGGGAAATTTGAATTCAATATTGTACGAGCTATCCATGATTTCGAATTTTGAGTGTCCATCTTATCTGTGCCCGCTTGTATTTATTTTCCCCCTCTCATTTCTATTTTGCAGGCCTCCCGGGTCAAGTGTCATGGAGAGAGTTCTGAAAGCCAATCGCATGCGTGCTTGGAGAGAACCTGGCGATCCTTCGGCGGACAGCCCGCCCCGTGAAGGGCTCGCCGTACGAGGACATAGAGGTCGTGGCCGGGGCCGTGGTGTAGGACCGGTCAGAGGTAAAAAAGTCAGAGGTGGTGCGGCGGCTGTGGGTGAGGTGCGCAGCAAAGTCAGCACCCGGAGTCCCGAGCAGGGTTTGGCTCGCAGCAGCTCCGGGAACCGAAGCAGGAGCTTTAGCAGAGATATGTCACGGAGTGGGAGTAGGGAGGGCAACCGCAGCAGGAGTCGAGAACGCAGCGGAGATCAAGGTCGTCATAGCCGAGAAAACCACCGCAGCAGGAGTGGGGATGGCAGCAGTGGGGATCATCGCAGCCGGAGCAGAAGTTGCAGTCGGGACAGAGAGGATCGCGAGAGGGAGATGATGCGACACCGAGGGCCTATGCCGCCCATGGTCCCCGGTCCAGGGGGAGTCATGATCCCTCTCCCGCCCCACCCCATGATGTTCCCACCGCACTTCCCTATGGGGTTCCGACCCCCCTTCCCAGGGCGGGGTGGCCGGGGACCAAGGGGCATGCGGATGAGAGGGGGCCCAGGAGCCATGATGGGAGGCCGCCTGCCTCCACCCCCTCCCCCTCCGCCGGGCTTCCGTGGAGGCCTGCACGTCTTCAACAAAAGCTACCTGCGCAAGTACAACAACTTCCTAGGGATGAACAATCAGATTCGTGACATGTCCGGCAGGTTTGCCCAGCCACTGCAGGTAGAGCTTCCACCTCAGCGGTACAAAGACGGTGACCGCCAAGACAGACGGAACAGAAGGCGGTATCCAGAGAAAGGCAGGAGGCGAAGGAGGAGGCGTGACAGTCGAGACAGTAGTGATGACAAGAGTAGGAGCAGGAGTAGGGATCGTAGCAGGAGCAGATCTCGAAGCAGGACCAGGGACCGTAGCAGAAGTAGGAGCAGGGACAGTCGAAGCCGCAGTAGAGGTCGCGATAGATCCAGGGACAGGAGCAGACACAGATCGAGAGACAGAAGCAGAGACAGATCTAGAGATAGGAGCAGAGATGGATCGAGAGATAGATCTAGAGACCGTAGCAGAGGTGGATCGAGAGACAGAAGTAGAGATAGGTCAAGGGATAAGAGTAGAGACAGATCAAAGAGCAGGAGTCGGACAAGGGACAAGAGCAGGAGTAAAGAGAGATCCAAAGACAGGAGCAAAAGTGGGAGTCAATCTGGTAATAGAAGTCCAGAAAGGTCAGAGGAGAGGAGAAGAAGGGAGGATAGATCAAGGGACAGGGATAAAAGTGAGGATAAATTGGAGAGTGAAAGCAAAAGTAAAGATGCCTCTAAAAATAGAAGCCGAAGTCGTGATAATCCAGAAAACAGGAGTGCCAGTGACTCTAAAGGTAAGAGCAGAAGTCGAGATGGTTCTGAGGAGAGTAAGAGAGGTTGGAGCCGAAGTGACCACAGGTCAAGAGATGGGAGGAGAAGTAAGGACAGGTCGGAGGAGAGAAGGAGAGAAAGAAGCAGGAGTAAAGAGAAGAGATCACAAGAGAGAAGGAGAGAAAGAAGCAGAAGTAAAGAAGAGAGATCACAAGAGAGAAGGAGTGAAAGCAGCAGGAGTAAAGAGGAAAGAAGGAGAGAAAGAAGCAAGAGTAAAGAGGAAAGAAGCAGGAGTAAAGAGGAGAGGTCACAAGAGAGAAGAAGAGAAAGAAGCAGGAGTAAAGAGGAGGCCAGGAGAGAAAGGAGCAGGAGTAAGGAGCAGAGATTACCGGTACAGGAGAAGAAGAGGGGGAAAAGTTCAGGTGAAGAGGACCGTTCCCAAGTTGGTGGCAGAGGTAAGCAAGGGGCCGATGGAGGTGAGAGGAGCACCAGTCAGGGATCAGGTCCTAGTGAGAAGACAAGAAGAGACGGAAGTACAAGTCGAGGCAGAGGTCAGGGTCGAGATGACAGCTCCTCCCGCAGACAGCAGGAGAATGAGGGAGGGGAGAACGACGGGAGGAAGAACAAGAGTCAAGATGTTGTTGAAGGAACTCCCATAGGAGATAGAAAAAAAAAGAGCAATGCCAAAGGTGAAGGAAGACAAGATAGGAGGGAAGACGATGAAAGTGGCCCGCCAAAAGCAGACCAAAATTGTGGAGACGAAGACAGCAACCGAGGAGGAGGCAACAGTTCTTCAGACCGAAAGAAAAGGAAAAATGGGAATGGAGAAGGGAATGGGTCTAAAGATGTTGGAGGTGGTGGGAGAAGCAAAAGGGAGGAAGAGGAAAAACAAAGAGGTGCAAGTGGCAAGGGATCGGGTGAGAAAAAACAGAGTGAAAAGGCTGCTAAGGCTAAAAGCGGTTCAGCTCACAAAAGTAAAAGTGATGGGGATGGGGCTGAGAGAGGATTGGGCGGTGAGACAGTCGGTAGCTGGGATGACATGAGAAATGATGCCAACAGTGAAGATAGAAAAGAGAGTGGTGATGATTGAGGTACATGTGAACATTTAGTCAAAATGACAGTCCTACTCCTACAGTTATGGTTGTGAAAGTGTCTAAGCCAGCCACTTGAACAACTGCTCTGTCATAGAACTGTTTTAAACCAAAAACAGTGTCGTTGTCACAGTGACAAGAAAAAAAACCCCACCTCCCCTCCCACTTTTAGAGGGAAAAACCCTTCAGCCACACTCCCATATGCGTCATCAGTTCATAGGACTGTTGCATGCAGTTTTATTTGTGAGCTGATATGGCAGTGGTGGCATTCAAAGCACTGGCAATACAGACCTTCAACACCGTCAGCATGTGCAGCCATCCTTCTCCCATTCGGTAAACGCTCATTCCTGGTGTAGATGTCAGCCCAGTACAGTTTACTCCTATTCCATGAGCTTACCAGCGTGAGCTATTGATTGACTTTTGACTCCCATCCTACCTGCTCAGTAAACAGAAAAACTTGTACCTGAATTGTGATCGATTCTTTTGTTGAACTGGATGATGAAGATGATTGATTCTCCTGTTGCACTGGACGTTGATGATGATTGGTTATCTTGTACTGGATGATAACTGGTTCTCTTGTTGCACTTAATGAAGATGACGGACTCTCCTGTTGTACTGGATGGTTGGTTCTCCTGTTGTGCAAGATCATAATGGTTCTCTTGTTGTACTGAATGGTTATTATTAGAGTGCAGTAAAAAATTTGTGGCAAATGAATCAATGTCACCCTTACTTTGCACAGCAGTTATATGAATTTGTCTTAACTTATTAACTTAATCATATTTTTCCATTATAATTGAGGCTAGATTTTAAAACTTTTCCTCCTAAATTTATATAAAATACCACAAATCTCCTTCACACGGAAAATGGAAGTTTTCTCAGCACTTCCTGCTTCTCACACATATTTTGCATATGCAGGCCTATGGCACAGCTCACCGATGACACTTTTTCATGGCAAAACTAGTTAAGAAAATAGTTTTATAGGGAACACTTTTTGCACTAAAAGTTCTCAAAACATGTGTTCAATAAGCACTAGTGTCATGATTAGAAAAACATGACGGACTTGCTTTTAAATGCGATATTGTCCCAGCTGTAAATCTTGTATAATCTGTAGAAACCACCCTCTGGGGTTTTTTTTATTAGTATTTATTAAGCACTGGCAGTATTGCATACTGGTGTAAGTCATTTTTGGCAGCCTTTGATATACGTCTGTATGCAATACTGCCTGTGAAAGGAATTTTCTAGAATAGGGCTAACAGGTGTCTACAAAAATATTGATCTGTTAAGACAAATTGACACGAGTCACTGTGCAAAAGTCGGAGAGTTTATGTTTAGGAGTTGAGGAGATATTTGACAATAAGTTGCAGCACAAATTTTTTACCGCTCTTTATGCTGGGCAATGATTAATTCTTCTCCCTACTGTCATATTGTCCCGGGAAGTCATCTTGTGCTGTCTGTTCCCCTTAGACCTCTTGAGTGCTGGGGTATAGCTCATCCAACACAAAAACATCGTAGTTTTTTTGTAAATAACTTTTTATTCCATTTATTTGGGGCCTTGAGATTTTCAAATTGTGGGCTCCTGATCTGTTTTTTCCAGCTATGTTTTTAAAGGGTTACAGGTGGTAGTGAAATGTTACGTCTTCTCGGCATGGGTGGGGGTTTTCTGCGCGTTAGTCTGATGTTGAAAATAAACATATTTATCATAGTTCTGGAATATATTTCATAACAATTTTTCTTTGTGTTTGAAATCGAAACAAGACTACTGGTAAAGGGTTGATAAAAATGGGTGCTGGCAGTCAAACATTATCTGAAAAGAACATGTTTTTTAATTGGATGAGCCACAGCTGTGGCAGCTTAGTCATTAGTGGGCATTGTGAGCAGTGGTGGGACTTTGCTTTTACTATTATTTATCTGCCATTTCCACAGAATATTCAGCATTTCATGGTGCTTCATACTGGTCATTTCTCACAGTCAACAATTAATAATGTGTGTGTTAATTAGATGCATTAGTGTTTGTGTGTAAATGTCGGTGTATGCGTTTTATTATGTTTGTGAGGTGTACGCGAGTGTGTACATATGTTTTGTCATTCAACATTCATACACTTTGTTCTCCTATTCTTTTTGTCCCGGCCTATGATGATTGTTCTATCTGAGCTGTTCTGTTGGAAAGAGTGGGTGGGGGCTCTTATTGTTGCGAGTAGGCTACTTTCTTACCTGTACATAGCAGGTGGTTGGAGGGCTCCACTGGTAGGTCCTACAGATCAATGGTAGGCCTACTGTGTAGTATGTGTTGCATCACGATGGAATCAGGCTCTCGTCAATTTTTTTTAGCATATATGGAGATATTGGTATCATCTTAAAGCGTGTTCATTTGTCTTGCTTTTGATGAAAAATGTTCCCATTTATCTTGATTAGTGTAACCAAGATATCTGTACAGTGGAATCCTGTTATAACGAGAGGGAGGGGACCAGTACGAAATGTCCGTTACAGCAGGATTCTCGTTGTAAGGGATCCAGTAATAAATTCAAAGGAAATAATAAAGTAGGCCTAATCTATGAGTTTGGTGTTCTGTTTATTTCTTTTTGTCATCTCCATGATGACATTGTTCAGCATGACCTCTAGGTCTTTCTTGATCAAAAATTGAATCAGGTTTCCTTCTCTAGCGTTAGCGATGTTGACAGCTCGGCGTTGGCTATCAGAACGAAAGTTCTCTAGGCTAACTCGCCCTCTGTGTTGTCCCCCCACCCCACCACACCCTGTGGTGCTTGCCCTCGTCTCACATTCGCTCCATGATCAATCACAGCACTGTGACCTCTCCATCCCCGAATCGGAGAAGTGAGAGGCATGATAGATATCTAGGCCTAGATAATCTAGACTAGGCTGGCCTATCATTATCAGGACTGAGAAATCCTAGTTATCAGGCAGTGCGTTCTGCTTCACAACGGTGTGTCTGCGCGTGCCACACACTCCCCACTCATTCGCTCCGGCCTTCATCGTTGGCACACATGGGCTCTCCCATTCTTTGTTTCACTTGATAATCAACAAGTTTCTCAACTGGCGAGGTTTTCATATTTCAATGGCCTATGCGCTGTGCACAGGAGCAGCAATATTCCGCTATAACCGACTCGAGCATTTATGTGGTTGCGCTATAGCAGTATTTTATTTACAAAGATAAAGAAGGGAAAAAAACGGGGTTTTAGAATGATGTCTTTATAACAGGCTTCTCGTTGTTTCAGGACTCGTTATAAGTGGACTCCACTGTAATTAAAAGAGACAGGAGTCGCCTGATATCCATGGAAGGTGATACTGGCCAGAATATGCCACCAAAGATATATGACTTCCATAGCTTGATTGTCCTTTTGGAAACTACAAATTTACCCTTTTTTTGTGCCTTTTATCGAATCCACTCAGATGGGCTTTTTAAAGGAACATACAAAATGTGACAAAGAAAAAAAAGGTGGTAAAAATTGCCCAACAGGCGGGAAAATGCTGGTTTTTTCGATTTCATTATTTTGACGAGGGCCTGATTTAACCATGATGCCACACATATGATCTGATGAGTTGAGAAAATGTACATAATAACATGAATTGGATACATTCTTACTTTTTCGTGTGTGTTGTGCGCATTACACTTTGTATATATATATATGGATGTTGATACCTGGAAAAGTGCGTAGTACCCGATTTTTAAAAAAAATCAGAATGTTCATCTTATGATTGCAAGCCATTCTCCACTGATTTGTGCTGTTGGTCTTATGCTGAACTGTCACACAGAGTGATCTTGGTTTGAATTCCCGGACACAGATTTTCTTGGACTCCATGTTGCTTGAGAAAGAAAGGAAGTTTTCTTGGTTATCTTTACCCAGAGTAGTGTCTATGGTATGTACTGGTTTGGCGAAGATACGAGTTTGATTCCCAGTTGGGGAGGTTGGGTTTTTTGTTGTTGTTTTGGGGGTTTTTTAGGGGGGGGGGGGATTTTATGCCCTAGATCAGTAACAGCAACTTACTGGATCGATTAGAAGTTTTTTTATTAAGTATCAGTCTGTCAGTTGTGATGTTGTACGCACACCCTAAAAATTTACATCTGTCACTGCCACACACTTGGTTTGCACCTGTCAGTCAGAGATGCATATATTATAATCCGAGGTCCTGTCTGTTAAATACATATGTACATGTATATAAGTGTGTTTACATTGCGTAGAACATGGCTTTATTCCGATCCTGAACTATATCCAGACAAATTTTATCTCAAATGATGCCATGGCGCGAATTTCTGCTGTGGTAACACTCATCATGTGCTGTGTACTCCCAATAACTTAGATTAGATGGCAGTGACTTCATATTCGTTTTGTGTCCTGAATGCCAAGATGGTAAAAAGTATGTGAATTATTCGTGAATTTCTAGAGTTACGGCCACCTCATTTTTTTCAAATGCTTTAGTCTTGTACTACTTGTAGGATAAGCTTATTGTCCACATGCTGGCACATTGGTTTGATGTTTCACCGCACGCGCGCTCACACGCACATACACACACACATACGTGTGCATGCATGGTGAAACATCAAACCAATGTGCCAGCATCTGAACAATAAAGATCTTATCTTGTCTAAAGGTTACTTAGCATACTTATTCACGCCGTAAGCATTGAGACAAGGCTCAATTTCATGTGATTTTAATTTCTTTGTTTTCTTCGGTTGTAAATTATGAGAAAAATTAAACTGAGCAATCAATACAAACCGTGAAATAAGTTGTGACTCTTGGGTTGTTTGTGTTTCATTTGGCAATTTTGATAGTTTGTTTATCTCTGGTCGTGAGGAAAGGGCATCTCAGCAGGTCGCAACCAAATAAAGCTTGTGTATTGATGTCCTTTTTTAAAAACTCGCATATATATGAGCTTCAAATCCTCTTCCCTCTCACTCACTTCCTCCTTCCTTATCCTAGCCAGTTCTTTCACTAAATGTTAGAAGTAGTTGATTGAAAGTCCTACCGCCCAAGGTTGGATTTTTCTTATTTTACTAAAAGAATGTAATGTTCTCCTCCACCTTTCAGACAGATATGCTAATTTATAAAAGCACATGATGTTTTCTAGTAAACACTAACCAGAGATTTGTAAGCTGGAGGGAGATATTCAAATTTGAATGTTCTTTCAGTAGCCTCTTGTTTAAACTAGCTTACATTTCTTAATTTTTTAACAGTTTTAGGAGTGCAAAATAGGTGCTGTCCCAGGAGAGGACTACTAAAAGAATATTCACTCTTTCCCCCCTCATGTGTCCCAGACTACATGGATAAACGTGGTACAATTATATGTACATTGAAAATGACAAGCACCTCACCTCCATATCTAGACTTTTTTGTTTACGTTTTTCTTCCTTACTCTTTATGATATCTGTTTCCCTGCATGTGCTTCTAAACATAATAGTCCCAACAGAGCATCTTAAACATTCAAACATTGTTTTACGAGATGGATACTCACTCCTTTATTGCAGGTGGTTGGCAGATGCTCTGGTGTAGCTTGCTCTTTCTTTCCTATCAAAAGTTTATCGTCATTATCTCTCCTACTTCTTTTTTATGTTTGTTACTCTCTTGTAACACCTCTAATATTTGGCGTTTATATGACCTAATTTTTTTGCAAGTGCCGTAAAACACTTACTTAAACAAAAATCTCTCCTATTTATCTTTTCACATACACATATCTGTTTTTCTCAAGCTTTAGGTTGGTCACAAAAATGGAGCCATTTACTATTCAACTGTCCATACTGAAAAGAAGTCAAATGGAAAAAAAACTTCAGAAACCATTCATCTTTCAGAAAAGAAATCAATTACAAGTTTATTTACTGAATTTATATACTTACTTACTCTACTCATTTCAATAACAGTCAAATACAGTAAAGATTCAAATCAGTTCATAATGAAATATATCACTATCACAGCCAATAGCATTTCATGGCAACAAATCAAAAACCAGTCTGCCAGAAACTCAACAGTAACAGACAGCCATGTGGTAAAGTTATTTTCACTGAGTGAAAAACCATACAACCGGCTTTGAGAGGTAAGGAGACAAAAAAGGCTTCACGAACTATACAAATCTAATTATTTTTTATACACAAGATTATTTGTAGGAACATCAGACTAGACAAAGATTTAAGTCTTTCATACAGAGGGTGGGTGGTTGGCAGGTGCTCTGGTGTGGTTTGCTTCTTCTTTCCTATCAAACATCTATCGTCCTTATCTCTCCTCCTTCTTTTTTGTGTTTGTCACTGTCTTGTAACACCTCTAATTGTTGGCATTTATATGACCTTATTGTGTTGCAAGTGCCGTAAAACCTCTACTAAAACTAACTTTTATACAGAGGAGAGTGGAAAGGGGTATGTACCCCACTCCCTAGGGAACTAGAGTAGGCAACAAAAGCTAGGAAATAAAATCCACTAATGAATTAACTAATCAAACATTAACAAATGCATCCATTTATTATTAGTTTTAGTAGAGGTTTTACAGCGCTCGCAACTGCATAAGTTCATATGAGTGCCAAGGGGTGGATGTCAACAGAGAAGTCCTTGCAGGGAATCAGGCATACTCTGCTCACCTCTCTAGCTTCAACAGCACAAAGTCTGCTTCCACTATCAAGACACCCCGGAAATAGGTCACAAGAGTGTGACAAACGTACAAAAGAAGTAGAGGAAAATGACGGTAGTAAGGATTTGGAAAGAAAAAGCAGCATTTTCCTGCTGCAGTTAAGGCACAGTTATGAGCATGACATTGATGAATCAGCCCATTTACAATTCTACTGTGCTTAAGAACATGTTAATGTCCCCCCTTTGGGAATGGCCTAAAGACACTTCAGTCAGTAGCACTGAATTATTCAAATTCTCTGTTCTATTTTAATGTTGAAACTGTACCTACCCACTCACATTTTCGTAGTCAATGACGGTCTGATACGAATAAGATCACTAACATGGCACTCAAAAAAGGGACATCTGACATTCCTGACAAAAGAAAGAAGAAGACTTTCACACTACAAAACAATTTTAACTGACTTTTGTGTTGCCTGACTGACATTAACCTCTACACAACAACAACGCAGACACAAAAATAAATGCTAACTTTGTAACAAAAACCGCGAAGTAAAAAACGATCGAAAGGGCCATAAGAAAGAAAAGTGTACCAAAATTTGCATACAAAATAAAGAACACCGACTTTGCTACAAAAACAACAAAGAAAAAAATGCTACTTTTGTTACAATGAACTTTAACAAAATAAAATCAAAAGAGCTCTATATATAAATTATAAAGAAAAGGAAGTGTACCACAGTTTGTTCAGAAGATGGCACAGGCATATTGTTCATCCTGAGAAAAAAAAAAATTTCATTGAACAAAAACAAAATATAAAGTGCTCAAAAACTCCCAAGGCGAGGCTCATTTCTGGGAATACCAAGCTTGATATTTGCCGTTGCACTTTCTTCAGACATCTTCTGGCTACTTTCCTTGGCTGTTATTTTTTTCTTGAATTTGTTCGCCTTCGCTTCATTAGTTTCTCTTTGCCTCTGCTCCTCTTTTTCTTGTTTCTCTTTCAGAGCTTTCAGCTCTTCTTCTTCTTCCTCTTCCAGTTTAGCCTGTAGTTCTTTACGCCACTGAAAACACAGAAAGCAAAGAGAATTACTACTCCTCCCTCTCGAAATTGTCCAAGATGGCCACCCATTGTTGGGAAGAAAAGTGGCTGCCTTAGACTAAAGTTAGACACATGAACATCATTTTGGATATGACAGATGAAAAGGAAGAAAACAAATCATTCCTTTTGAGGTCTAAACCAGATGTGATTTCGGGCTTAGGACAACTTTTTTAAGGCCCGTTAAAATGAGTTTTTTTCTTTCCAAAGAAGGGCTGTAAGAGAAGTTTGGGTAGTGTGTGTGTGTGTGTCTTAGTTTGTCTGTGTGTACACGTATTATGTATGTTTTTTCATCTGTGTATGTGTTTCAATTGGTGAGTATCTTTATTTGTTAATAAGGGTGTATCATCATTTAACTGTATTCATCTCAGCATGTGTCCCATCAATGCAAGTTTATGAGTGTTTAAAAGAAAATGCTTGTGAGTGTGTGTGTGTCGGGGGGGGGGGGGGGGGGCAAAAAGTTAAAATTAGAATTAAATGTAAAAGGATGTAGGGATAAAACAAACATATGGGCTGCCACCACTTGGCTTACAAACATCACCTTTGACACAAGCTCATTTTGATGTCTATTGTTATCGACTGGATAAACTGAATGAAAATGTTTTCACGATGATAATAGAATACAGAATGTATTTTTAAGTTTACTTTTAACAGAAGCTGACTCTTTTCAACTCTTTTGTTGCACAAATCTTTCAAGAGTAAACACTGGACTCCATCATTCTAATATAATAGCTGAAAAGTATTCTACTCAGAATACTCAAAAACTTTGCCAATGTTATGACATTGTTATGATGGATTTCATCAAACATTTATTGTGTCCCTGTGCTTGTCAATTTTCGGGCATATGGAGTATTGGTATGATCTTAAAGCTTGTTCATTTGCCATGATTTTGATGAAAAAAATTCCCAGCTATCTTGAATAGAAGTTGCATTATCTGCATTTGTATGTGGGGGTTACCTGGTTTCAGAGGTAAAATTAGCAAGAAAATGGCAGTCAAAGTGTGGTGACTTCCAGAGATTGAGAGTCCTTGGAAATTGAAACTAAACATTTTTTGTATCTTTAACCCACTTTTAACAGTAAAACCCACACAGAAATGTGTTTTTAAATAGACATTAAAGGTATTGAGCCGAAAAACAAAAATTCGATAAATATTGCCAAACTAGCGGAAAAATGCCGTTTTCCATTTGATTATTTTGAAGAGCACCTGATTTCACCACAATGCCTCACATTTTACCCATACGCCGTGACCCAGTTTCCTGAATTTCTGCATCATCACAACACAAAGGGTACACACCTGATCCTCCATGATACGTCTCAGGTCAAAGCTTTTTCTGGTATTATAATCTGGGGCTTGTTCGTACAAGGCTGTGGCCAGTTCAATTTCTTGCCTGCAAAAGAACGTAAGTGAGATAATATTGTCTCATTTCATGCAGAAAGAACTTATCTCGATGCTGGATTGGAAAAGTAAAAGTAAAGTAACTTATCTCGATACCTCTTCTTCTTCTTCTTCTTGTTCTTCTTCATCTTCTTCTTCTTCCTCCTCCTCCTCCTCCTGCATTCTTTCCTAGATCTAAGGTATAATGGATATTTGAGGTGCAGCATGTTTATAAAATCGGCATGATATTGTGTCTCGTGTTAAGCTGGAAAAAAATATATCAATCATTTTATGTAAGTATGCTTTGCAACCAAATTTCTCCACAGGTGATCTATAAAAGCAGTTTTCCCCTTTTTATTTTATATGTGTGCCATCGTCCAAAGTAGACAAGTAGGCCTACCTAGCTGGAGGTTATCACTGTTAAGTCCTACTTATTTTTTTTCCCCCTGCTTTTTTCCAGCACTAATTAACCATTATTGTGCCCATGTGCTTCTCTTTACTTTAACAAACAAAACAATTGAAACATACTTGAGACTTGTCCTAAGTGGCTTCACTCCAGCGGTTTTTGTCATGGTAGAGAACTGCGGTTTCGGCCGTGGTCTCGGTGGAGTCTTCTTGCTCGGTGACGCTGTGGCAGGGGGCGGTATCGGCGGTAAGTAGATAACTGACAAGCCACCGGCAATGTGGATGCCCAGTGAAGTTGGATGTTCTCGCACTGCTGGGCCGAGGTAACTGTCCGCGTCTGTATGCACCTGTGGGTGGGAGAAAAGTTAAACAGACTTTGCTTCAGATGATGTCTCGGGGCACAGATAGAACTGTTATTTAATTTAAAAGAAACAAAAAGAGCCATTTATTTGCATGAAACATTTAGTCTGTGTCTGAAACTGAAATCTAATTTGAATCATATGCCATTGTCCAATACATGAATTCTGCACTCATAACCATGATGGCATAGTCAAAAATGAATTTCATATCTTTTTCAAATGCCCATATAAAAGCTTACAAAAGCAATACTTTCCTGTGGATCTCAGAAACTCTGCCATAACAAGTAAGTTTTACAATTTAATCAACGGCCATGGCCCAATAGAATTACCACAGCTTTCGAAGTTCACAAACCTTGTTTTAAGTTGAACAGAAGACATTTGAAGAACTGATAATGTACACGAGAATGTGAAGTTATATTCTGATGACTTTCTGTTGAACCTTTGTGCCGGGTACTGCTTGTATTGTAAAATATCGGCCTATTGCCTCTTGAAGTTCCTGAACAAAATACCATTACTATTAACTATAGTCACAAAAGAGGGGCACTGAGATTTATTTTTTTTTAAAACAACATTACCATAGCAATGCCATTGCTACACACGCATACCTGTCCAACCTTGAGAGCCTCCAACACACGAGAATCTCTCTCCATGCTGTTTGCCCTGAGCAGAGTATTCCATGCAGCTGAACGCAGCCCCTCTCTAGTCGTATCCCCCTGAAGACTGCGGCAAATTTTCACCAATGACTGAATGGCTCCGTAGCGGATACGCCAACTCCAATCATTTGGACCTAGCAAGAAAAAAAAATAAAAGTGTTTAAACAGCTGACGTTCTCAGCTGCTTCATTCTTTTCAAAGACACTGATTTAGAAGTTCTTTTTTAAGTTAAAAAATTCAATAATATTCTTTCTTTTACAAATTACAACACAAAATAAAATAACCTATGTACGGTACTATGTAAGTGCATAAACCATAAACAAAAACGCACATAGAAAAACACCTTATTTCCGGAAGATTTCCACCCACCAGGTCATCAACGTAAATTTCTTTACAGGTGATAATGAATTAATTCTTCATCTTAAGGGGAGGTGGCTAATGAAAATGCCAAAACTCAGTTCCAACCATTTTGTAGCCACTTTGTATGCATCAATGGATACATACACTTTTAACTCACTTCAGACGGGTCACACAACAGTTGCGTGACCCCCGCCATGACGCTCGCGTCGGGTCTCACAAGCCCTGCGTGACCAACTTTGGAATTTTTTTTTCGCTCTACAAATCACGCACGGATCGCGAGACCCGCCTCGTACCCTTGTTTGGCCAAGCCTGAGCTACTTAGACTTCGTTTCGTATCTCTGGGGCCGGTAGTTTTTAAGTTATTGAAGGTGAAAGACAGTGACCCCAACTGGGGTTGAACAGACCGGAACTCGCGCTTTGTTTTTTTCTATACAGCTCATAGTAATCCGACAGTCGCGTCGTAGTAACGGTCGAAGAAGTCGCATGAACAAGAATCACATAATTTCGCCGTTTTCTATACTTCTGTGCGTTTTACTAGTTCTAGTGTCTCAGAATATGATGTGTCTAATAGTTAGGATCCTGGATATGTACCCGAACACGGCCCGAGTCGTAGTTCTAGGGCTAGATCTAGCACTAGTACCGGTGTTGTTTTTCGCGCAACGAAATCACAACGTCGTGCCGTACATCTGTCTCATGTAATTCAGTGTATGGGTCTGAATCAATGCACAGACCAGCTTTTATATTTTCACCAAACACTTGCACATGTATACAAGTCAAACCAGAACACTTTGAACTTTTATTTTTGTTGTTGCAGTGAATTTCATTCTACTTGTCACGTCTCTGGAAATTTTTCGAAAATCAAATTCATGCCAATTTTTTAAAAATCGTACAAATTAAAGTATTAAACTTAGACAACTTTAGTTTTTTGTATTAGATTAAGCTTGAATGTTACTTTACTGTGTCAAAAAATGATTACAATAGGGTAATTCTGAGAGTTGTGGTGATTTATTGAAATACCCCCCAAAACACCAGTCTTCAATGCTTGTGGCTGGTGAAAGGGCCCAGTCGCAAGTGAGTTAAAAAGAGGTTTTGTGAAATAAAAAATTCATTTTTTATTTTTTTGTTCTTGTGGCGGCAAAAAATGGCGCTGATTCAGCAAAATTTCTTTATGTTTTATAAACAGTGTTTCTAAAAAACCAATAAAGATAGAAGCTTCACACTTGGTATATATGTTATATATTGCTTGCTTCTCCTCCTTACAGAATCAGATTTCAAATATCTATCATGTTTTCCAAATTTTACCCTCACTTTGACCAATGTTCAGAATTCCATATTAGGCGATGCTGAAACGCAAAAATGCCAAATAACTCAAAACAGAATCAATATTCAGGAAAAGTGCTCTTGTAAGGAGGAGGGCACTTATCTTGGGAATAATGTGTGAAAATTTCAATGAAATCTGACCGTTAGTTATTGAGATACACTTTCTATAAAGTTACCAGATAGCCGAAAATGCAATTTCGAGAAAAACGCAAACAAAGTTTTCAAAACATTGTGCAATCACAAACATCTCGGTTTTCACTAAAATCCAACATTATTCGGCAACATACATCACGTTTACACAGCACAGGCTATTTAAAAAGCTTTTTTGACAAGTTTTTACATCAATTCCCCCCCCCCCCCCCCCCAACTGTCCTCTCACAATTGAATCTCCGCCCCAAGAACGTAAACTCTCATTTGTCTTTCAGTTTCTGTTCTTAAATGGGAGAAGAAGCTAAAATATCTATGTAAGGTAATAGGACATTCAAGGGCTTGTGTGAAAATTTCAACCAACTCTGACTGTAACTTTCTGAGGTCTAATCAAAATAGTGCAGCAGATTTGGCAGAAAAGTTATTCCGAGAAAAACGCGAATAAAAATTTTGCATGCTGACATGCCCGTCTAAATTTATATGTTAATGTTGCCATACTGAATTGTTTAGGTAAATTGAGTTTGTTGTTAGTCTTTTCTACATTAAGAAATCTTTAAATGATTTGGCAGATGACTGCCTTTCTTAGAATTAGAAGAGTCGAGACTTTGTCGAGCCAAAAAAAAAAAGCTGCTACCTCCCCTTCATTTTCTTCCCATGTGTTTTGGTTTTGCAATGGTGGAATCTAAGACTATGCAATCAAGAAAGGCACACTGTAAGCTGGCACTACATGATACTATCTAGATCTATATCTGTATATTTTCTCAATTTGTTTTATCCCTATCTATATATTTCTGCAGTCGCTTCTTTCAATCTTGCTTGAAGGGGTTAACTGGCTTTGGGAACACTGGTCTCCGATTTTTTAAAAACCCAATAATAATAAAGTAAACAAATTGTTTTAAATAACACTAGGCCTTAGAGATTTCTATTGCTATATCTACGCTAAACAGACTTGTTCACTGTGAACAACCGAAGAGGCTAGGGAAGCCATCAAAACAAATGTATCCTAGATCTAGATCTAGATTCCTATAACTTTGTCGATTGAGCGCAACGTAGATCTGTAGATCTAGACTTTGAATACCCCAGCCACATAATCACGGAAAGTACTGAAGGCTATTATGTATTATACGTATAATCTCAACAGTTTAGATCCTGGATTAGCTCACTCAAAAGGACTAAGACTAAGAAGACATCGAATCGAATCACGATCAGATAGACAGACGAAAGAAGACGAATAAGAAGTAGCATGTGTTCGGTAGGCCTTGTCGGGCCGAAATACTACACAGAATTGCAAATGGAGATGATAACAATAATTATTCAGCCTGTAAACAAGATTTATTAGCGTTGAAATCGGCAACACGATAGAAAACTGTTTGAAATGCAGCGAAAACGTTCACGTTCTGTCTTGCGGCACGCAGTGTAAACAATGGCCCGCGAGGGGAATCCCCTTCGTTGCTACCGGCTCGGCGAATGAAAATTCACGGTCCGGTCACGTGACGGAAGTGGCAACCGGTATTTGGTACGGGGTCTTCAAACATACCTAAATGGGTCCCCAGAGTAGTTCCGTACGAAAACGAAAGTGCAATAATCGAATAGCTCTTATCACGGCCTTTCAAACGATACCAAACTTGATTACCTTGCAGCCACGGAAAGTGTTGTTGTCAAGGGGTAAAGTTTAACATTTCTTGACGTTTTGTTTGCATTTTTTTGCCCCCCCTACCGCTTTCAAATACATTTTTATATATATTAGAGGTCTCCTTAGGTTTTGGGACCTTCACAAACGGATTCTTGACATATTTTTCTGTAAGAATATCCAAATACTCGAAGTTCCATTTTTTTAAAGCAAATACCCGATTTTCTAGGGGATCGAGACCCGCGGATCCCCTTAAGCTATGGACAGTGCACCCCCTTTATACTTTGGTCACAAGTAGCCTATCCTCACCTCCGTCCTTGGTTTCATTCTTCGGTTTAAAGAAGGCGAGATCCAGCAGCCCCGCACTGCTGAGTTGACTGCTCCCGATACCACTGATGCTGTTGTTGTAGCTTCGGCGATGGATGTTTTCCACGTCAATGTTGCTGCCAACCTGCACGATTGTCAAAGGAAAATCCTTTATAATTTTTGCACAACCTGATTCTATTTTTACACACAACCAGAACCCTCCCACCACACACACATCTACACACCAGCATACACTAGCAGGCATGCACGCACACACATATACGCACACATGCGCATGCAAACACACACGAACACAAATTGCTGAATGCCACAAATGGGACAGTCCTAGGAAATTCGGGACAGTCAGCAAGCCTGATAATCTTAAACGGTTCCCAATAATAATTGTGGGCCAATCTGAGCAAATCAGGAAAATGTCACCTCTGGGCCATTTGAGTATTTGCCCTTTTCTAAAAGCTGGGATCTTCCTGATTATTATGCACTTAAAAATTTTTCAGTTATCTTTTCTAGAAGATGAGATTATATTGCATTTTCTACAAACACAAAATAGAGACAAACTTCAACAGTACAACCTACCAAGGCATGTTTCTGAATGTTCGCCGTGTTCCCGTACAGCACGACCCCAGCCAGAACTTCTGTGTACATGATGGCCACTTCCCAGTGCCAGCCAGTGATGCCGGGCGTGTCGGGGAACTGGACCACAAAAGCATACAATTTAGAGAGATGGAATTCAGAATGACAACGGCTCAAAATAGACACATGCAAGTGCAAGTTAAGAAAGTACCATAATAGGCTATAGATATGAATAACAATCATGAATGAAACATAACAACAAGTATCTTGATGTTGTTCATGTAACCGATACAAAAATGTACGTAAATTAGAATTTTACTCTAAGTTTTAAAAAATAATAGAAAAGTCTCCTTTCCTCTCTCTCTCTCTCTCTCTCTCTCTCTCTATCCCTCCCCCCCTCTCCCTCCCCCTCTCTCTCTCTCTCTCTCTCTCTCTCTCTCTCTCTCTCTCTCTCTCTCCCTCTCTCTCTCTCTCTCTCTCTCTCTCTCTCTCTCTCTCTCTCTCTCTCTCTCTCTCTCTCTCTCTCTCTCTCTCTCTCTCTCTCTCTCTCTCTCTCTCTCTCTCTCTCTATTTCCTTCTCTCTCTCTCTCTCTCTCTCTCTCTCTCTCTCTCTCTCTCTCTCTCCCCCCCTACCCATTGGTATTGTGCTGGACAATGATGTGGATCACACTGGTACAAATCCCGAAAGCAGTGTCCTTCAACTGTGGCTATTTTGGAAATTGAATGGCTTTCTACATTTTGCCATGGGCACTACACCCATACAATACAACGATTACAGCAGTCAAATCACGAACAGTGTCTGTAGAGTAGTAGTTAGGCCCTTTGCCGTTACATCCAGAAGATATATGAGCTCGTAAGTTGATTCCAAAGTCAGAAAGCTTTTTTAACACATTACACCCTAACTCGCCCGGGATCGCCCGGGAATTCCCTTACGCGCTCCACCCTGACTCGCCCGGAACCGCCCGCGCCGACCCAGCATCTTTAGAAACGAAAGTCTCGCCTTGACCAGACTCTGGGGCCGGGATTTTAATTTGCATAGTATAGCAAAAAGTTTCTTCTTTCGTTTGATACCGAAACGAAATTTTTCGGTCTAGTAGTTTTAGTATTAGAGCTGATCGAAGTGCGATCGCGTTACCGACATTTCGAAAGTGCCTCGACTTGTTGAAAAGCGACACAATTGAGTTCGAAAACGGAAATAACGATGGATTTGAGCAAAAACGAGCATGTGACAAATCAGATGGCTCAGATTTTGATGAAAACGTTGTAGGAAGAGTTTGGGGCGATTCCGATTGATCAGACGGAGAAATTATAGAATTTAGATCTAGGGCCCGACCGCGAGGCTGAGAGTGAGAGTGACGGATCGGACACCCCGATTGAACTAAAGTGAGAACATTTCCAACAGTTTGCGCATACATAAAGTTATATTTTTCTGAAACTACATTCAGTTTTCTTTTTAACTTTTATTTTTTCAGGATTTTTGGAATTTGTTTAGTATTTTTAAAATGTGTTTTTTAAAGGCTAGTATTCACGGGACGTGGGTTCTTTCCCCTTGCTTAGGATCTAACAATGGACTTCCCGTCCAGGCCCTTAGGGTGTAATGTGTTAAAAGAGTAATATTTTCTCTGCCGCAATAATATATCCCACTCAGCCTAAGTCAGCCCTGACAGGCAATGCCAAAGTAGCCAGACTCCTACATGATCTGAATTATGTCAATGGAGATGTAAAACAATTACAATAAATAATTAAGTCAATTCCATTTCACCAACGCACCGGCATGTTGGTGAAGGTCGGCACCGAGCTGGCTTCCGATGCTCTCCCACTCTTGAATGCTGAGCCAGCCTCCGCCCGCCATCCCGTAGTTCGGTCCACCTCCAGACTGCGCAGGCTGAGCTTGGAGTCCTGCGTGTTGTGACGTCCCTTGTCTGAGCCCACACTCGCTGGGGGATACACAAATCCACTGCTTAGAGCAACACTCTGCTATACTGGAACTTCATGTTGAAAAGTGATGTATGACGGAGTCTTACATTGAGCCGTCCATTCAAAAATACAAATTGAATATCATTTTTTCCCTAGACCACTGGGTCCTTCATAATCAAAAGCCCAACCCCTCCCCCCCCCCCCCCCCCAATCATCAACCACAGGTGGAATGATAGGAAAAAAACAACGAAAATGAAAAGCTCATTATTTCCCACATGCTGGGTTCTTAGTTTTCAAAGCAGGATCTAGCTGTGCCAACAGCAGAGCAGTGTAAGAACTAAGATAACTCACCCATAGCAGTCCTCCCCATTTCTGCAGATTTTACAAAATCAGAGAAGAAAGACATGAATTCACACTAGCCACTAGTCCTCACCATATCCCTGACTGCTCTTCAAAGGATCTGGAGCACTTGACTTTCGGAGAGCAGACTCATCAAAAGACACTTCACGTTGGACAAGTCGAGACGTTCCACCAAAACTTGCCTCTCGGATTGCAGGCCGTGGTTTCTCTTCTTCTTCTCTTTCTTCAAGTGTGTCGGCTGTCTTTGGTGAATTCTTGCTCGACAAGGACTGTAATAAGAAAAACCTTTTATTGCTTGCAGTCTCGTCACATATTCTTCCGATGCTGATAAGAGGGGGCCCATCATTAGCTCAAATGGTATCAATCCTGGACTACGATTCAGATCACCCTCCTCATCAATAATAGAACATTCTTTCTTTTTACGTAAGCATTTTACAGCACTTGCAACACAATCAGGCCATATAAGTGCCAAAAACTAGAGGAGTTGCTTGAGTGTAAAATAACGAGGAGATGAGATAAGGATGACAGATGTCTGATAGGAAAGAAGGAGTAAACCACACCACAGCACCCACCAACCATGCACTAGGACATTCTCTCATCTCAGACTTATTAGAATCAGTCGCCATGCTTTCAAATAATCATAAATGGTTGAAAGCATGTTAAACCCAATATTGTACTAGGTACCAGAAACTAAATTTTCAAAGTAGTTGTATGCCAAATTTATCAGTTTCACTTGAAAGGCTTATATCCACTGAGCATTTTGGTACCATTCTTTAACCTCTCAGTCAATTTTTAAGAAAATGGTAGTTGTTTAAAATTTTATCAAATTTGTTAAAGTCAGTCACTGGCTGCAACCCCATGTTTGACAGACAATAAAAGAGTACCAAGAGCACTAAACATCTCCACATTAACAGAGTACAATCACTATGACAAATATATGGAGCCTAATTTTTTTCAAGACTGTGAGATCATTACAAATCAGTACTTAATCGCCTCAAACACGATGATCTGTCGTTATTTCGACAAAAACACCGAGCGTTGACCCCGCCGGCGCTGCACCGGGCCCCGCGGCGAGCGAGTCGGCTCTATACTGTAGTGTACCCCGCGTGCGGGGTCACATGCTTTCTGAGTCTCGCGGAAGGATTGATAAAAAATAATTCCAAGCTGATTACTTTATTCTAATAGAAAATAAGCTGATCTTTTATTAAATATATTTTTTAAGCCGGTATTTTACATATTATGGGTAAAAAGTGATCTTTAAACATTTTGACAGTATTTTTAAAAGCTTTCTATTTAGACGCCAAAGGCAAAACACATATATCTAAGGAAAGCCCGTTTAAAGCTCTACAGTTCTCCGCCAATGAAAAGACGGTATTTAATCATTCCTCGTTCCGCGAAGCATTTGAATGCACCCGTGTCAATTTTTCAACCGGCCGACCACGCATTCCGACTGCGAGGGGCTTCGCTTTCGTCGGCGATTCTCTAGCTCCTACTAATCGGACATAAAAACAACATACACCATTGTAACAAGGAAAAGCTGAACTTTTACAAGGTGTACGGCACTTGGTGTTTTATAGCGAAAGAGCAAAGAAACAGCGAAGGGGAATTACCCCGATTTCACCGATACCACGCGGTCGGAAGGCCGCGAGTGCCCGCGAGGCCGTGTTTACGCTACCTAATTGTACTTTAGCATACTGATTAACAACATCTCATATATTTCCTATTTCAAAAGCATTTTTGTCACTTTTTCGTTCAACATTTACCGACATTGATGGTGTAACGGTTAGGACCGTGTTGTAACACACAAAAGCATGAGTTCAATTCCCATGGATGAAGTCTATTTAATTAAGAATCTCAATCTTTCTGTTTTCTGTATTCCACTTACTATTGGCCATGATAGACAGGGTTGAAAGAGCTCCTTTAAAAATCTAAAACATCATCACAATTGACACTTTTCAGGAGCTACTGTTTTTCTCTTTGCCTCTGTTATGTCTGCCTACCTCATCTATCTGTCCGTCTCACTTCTTCCCAACACTAAACACATACACATGCTACTTTAAACAATGAGTTTCTCTTTATGTCAAACTAAAGTGAATCAGACCAAAGCAAACAAAATGCTCAAACTCATATTAGCGTGAATCAGACCAAAACTAACAAAATGTTTCACCTGATCACTCAAATCAGTGCCTTTACTGCCCTCAGTTCCCGATGAGCCTGTAATTGTTGCAGCTTGTCTCTTTTCCGCATCTCCCTCTTCACTTCTCTCGTAGATGTCGCTGAGAGATGGCTTGGAGCTGTACTCACTCTCCCTTGACTCCGACACTTTGGTCCCTGAGTCCATACCAGCATCAAGGTCACCACCATCACTGGAAATACTGAACATATCTGGAGGAAGGGGTGGGGGTGGGGGGGGGGGGGTCATATCAGCATGACCTCAATTAAGCAACAAGTTGTAACAATTTTTTGTAACTGTATCAAGTTCTACATCCTAGTTGTGTAAGGGTTTGGTTTAGAAGACTAATCAGGTTCATATACCCTTTTATAATTTTTCGCTGATGACGGAAGCACATCATAAAATGTTTCTTATTATGAGTGGAATAGAAAAAGATAAAGATGAAGGACATTTGATAGGAAAGAATTGGAGCAAACCATACTGGAGCACCCACCAACCAACCACCAAAAAGTTTTGGAGCAAGGTCTCCTGCTTCTCACCTGATCCTCCGCTGCGGCTGCTCAAAGGGGGAGTAAGCAAGTCTTCTGTTGTCTTCACTCCCTGAGCCAACCGATGTAGTACTTTCATGGCAGCCATATTGGTTTTTGCTGTTTCTCCAAGTATTTGAATTGCGACTACACCATCCACCCTGAAGTCAGAAATATTTCAAAATCCACATAAAAGAAAACTTGAACCCTTGATGTAACTTATGAAAATTGTCAGAAACAGTTTGTTTGCTTCAGTAAAAAGAAGCACGTCGACACAGTAATGATCATTTAGTGCTGGGAAAAAGTCAGACAGAAACAAGAGGGAAAACAAAGTAGGACCCACCAGAGGCACCCTTCAACCACCCGCTCAGAAAACTCTCTCTATGAATAAAGGTCTTCTGAATGAGATATAATAGAATCTAAGTAAAGAGGAACATGCTAACATTAAAATGGTCAATTTATGCAGGGGAAAAGTAAGACAGAAAATCAGAAATAACAAAAGTTAAAAAAAGAAATAGAACCTGTCCATGACACCCTCCAAAAGCCTGCACACAAAGCAAACAAGTCAGCAAATAAACAAACAGATTTGGATGACAGTAACACTAAAAAGAAAAGTAGATGGAGTAGACCATATTCACAGCATAGATCTTCCCACCTGCATACAACACGAGCAAATAAATAAATAAACATATCTGAACAACAAAAACACTGAAAAGAAATGTAAACTAAACAGACCATGTCACGACATTGTGGAATAATGTACATCACACAACTCTTCTGTTATAACTGTTAGGTACGTATCGGGATTTAGACAGTACCTTTCTTCTACTCAGTAGTTACTTTTCGGTTACAGTGTACTAGAAGACTATAATAAAACCAAAGAGCCTTTTCAGACGTGCGTTTCTTCACTCTCTCTATATCTGTTTGTACCCACAAACCGAACAATATTACAGACATAAACATACAAATGGTCGCTTTTAAGCACAAGGAGGCTATCCCGAAAAATGCTGTTCTCAGAAAAATCGAAAGTAAAGTTTTTGCCCCTTGTTTAGTTTCAATAAAAGACAAGGAGAGTTTTCTGTATAACCAAACAAATATACACACCAATGAAACCAAACTTCTCCTATTGGCAGGGCAATGCCCACTTTTGGTGTAGGTCAAGATTTCTGGAAACACCCAAAATCTGGGTTAGCCCGCTTGTCCTTAAAAGTGACCTAATAAACATAATAATAATAATAATAATAATAATAAATAAATAGCATTTGTATAGCGCATATCCCCGCTCAACAGCAGGCTCTATGCGCTTTACACTATATTATTACCCCAGCAGACCATAGAACATTCCGAAACATTCTCAGTTTCCCGGGAAGCATACAGTGCAAGCAGCTGATTAAGCGCTCAAACACTAACAAACTGACAAGATCTTTCGCTGTCTATAGCCGGGTACCCATTCCCACCTGGGTGAAGTGAGGAAAATTCGTGTAAAGTGCCTTTCCCAAGGACACAACGTCGGGTCCCTGACGGGATTCGAACCCACGACCTTACGGTTGCGAGTCCGAGAACAACAGTAACACTGAAAAGAAACGATCGGACTGCACCAGAACAAAGATTTTCCCTTTCTCTCACAACACAAACATACAAATTTAAAACAAACAGACTTTTAGTCTTTTTTTTTGTTTGTTTCTGTACCAATTTTATGGCACTAGCAACACAATCAGGTCAAATAAATGCCAAAGATTAGAAGTGTACAAAGAGAGTAACATACAAACAAAAGAAGGAAGAGAGATAAAGGATTATAGTTAGTTATAGATGTTTGATAGGAAAGAAGGAGCAAACCACACGAGAGCACAAGTGAACCACCCACACAAACATATTTTAACAGCAGTAATAAAAGTAGACTGATTGGACTACACGCCGTAAGCTGATATTACACCTTTTTTTATTCACAGCTGTTTCGAGATAGAAAATTTTTGTCATCGTAACCTTTAAAGAGTTCTTCCAAAATTTGAATTCTAATTTATTCAAAAACTAGTAACGGCTTCACTTTGATTTTTTTCACTCAAGTAGGGTAACCTATCAGGGTTTCCATTTAGCAAATTAAGAAAATTTGGCATCAAAAATGAAAAAAGGCGTTCTGTCAGTTTACAGTCGCCCACCACAACACAGATTTTCCCACCCACTCAAAACATAGACAAACAAACAAGCAAACAAACAAACAAGCAAACAATAAAACAAACAAACAAAAAATATTATATAAACATGTCAAGTCTTCAATGAGCACTGACCAGGTCTCACTGGCCAGTCCGAGGCCACAGTGTGCCAAGGCCTTGAGGGCCTCCCTGAGCCCACCTCCCAGACTGTTGGTGCAGCGCCAGACGTCCAGGGCGTGCCACAGTGTGGGGCTCAGGTCGTGGACAGAGCTGCTGATGGCTCCGCTGTGGATGGAGCGCGTGTCCTCCTGGTTCCGCCTCTCATACATTTCCTTTGTCACCTGACCAATGAGAAAAATTTAATTTTAAAAAGTTTTCTACTGCTGCAGTTTAACCCAATCACTGAGAGAGAGAGAGAGAGAGAGAGAGAGAGAGAGAGAGAGAGAGAGAGAGAGAGAGAGAGAGAGAGACCACGTCACAAAAACACAAAAAGCGACTTGGCAAAATGTGTACATTTCTACATTCTACATCCCATCAATTTCACTGTGTGCATGCTAGACTGTTCATTTGTTACCCGAAAAAGCAAGGCCTCAGAATTCTTTTACCAACATTCAAATTCCAACGAAACAACAGAAAGAAAAATGTTTCTAATTCGATCTCAAAATGCCAATAAATTCAATCAGACCCAATGATAATATCATTTGCATTCTGTGCAACCTGTGTTACTTCATAAAAATAATAATACATCTTTTCTGAATCATTTCAGATGGGAAGATTTTTGATTGAATGAATCTTTATGACTCAATACGCATTAACTAAACAAAACAATACAAGAAACGTACCGAGCTGAGTTCCTCCATGTTGTGTTTCGGAGCCTCTGGCAGTTTGTCTCCTTCCTTGATGTCGCCTGGCTCCAGCTGAGAGTCTGCCAGGATAATCTTCCCAACCTCGATAATAAATCTCAGGGACAGAAGTGCGTTGGGGTACGGGTTGTATGCCTCTTGACATTCGTGAAGACCTGTCCATAATGAAAATTCCTTTAAAAATTCAATCCAAATTAAGAAATGCATCTCTCAACATAAATATTTACTTACTTGTTCAAGAGAAGCAAAACAGTAGGCTACAATAACAGTAATTCAGGAAAAGCAGATTTAGTACAAATTTAGAGAGAGTGAAAAAACGCACACTTATTAGAGCTTTTTGTTATATTATTGTCCTCTAGTAAGCACTGTAGCCGAGAAGTGACTACTGACTTTTTAGAAAAGGTACTGTCTAAATCCTAATACGTAACATAACAGTTACAACAGGTATTTACATAATTCCACATCTACTAGCAACAATCTCTGATTTCCCATGCAACATTAACTAAACAAATATTACATCTACTGGTGTGTAAACCCAGACGTCTGGCAAAATCCATGCTTGTTACAGCAACAGTTATAATGAAATCTTAAGTCTTTGTTGAAGTGAAATTACAAATTAAAAAAGAAATTGAATAAATAAATAAGTTTACTAAATTAACTAATTAAAAAAGCACACCATACTTCCCATTTCCAGTAGAATGACTCACCATCAATGTAGGTAAACAGTCTGTTTTTAGCATCAATGTAACCTTGGAGCTGACCAGCCATGTGATGATAAAACAGTCTCTGAAAAACTAACTGACCCATCTGAAATTAAAAGATATTTTAATTTATTTCAGCGTTTGCAAAAAGTTTTCTTATTTTTTAAATGCAGTAGGCCTACTGACATTCAGTATTCATAGAACTAATTAAGTCTCAGCATAACCTAATGACAGAAAACTAACATTGTCTTTTCCACCATCATCTAGCAAATAAAAAGAGTAAAAATTGTCAACTTCTACTTGTACAGCTAAGCAAAGGTACCTGCTACACAGATATGACTTCAACAGAGATAAACATGAGAGCTTGGGTATAGAGAGTAGAATCTTACACCTAAGGAAAGAGAGGAGAACATTCAACACAAGACATAAAAGAGAAGGATGTTGAAGCAAAGGCATTATACACGCTGTGCTTGAAGAGGCATGAGGTGACAGCCAAAAGGAACTGATTTTTTTTTTCTTAACTTTTTTTCAAAAGTAGTAACTGAGTTTCACAGAGGTTCTACCCTCTTTATTTTTTTGTTAAATCTATTTATCTTTCTTTTTTTTGCGGGGGGGGGGGCAGATTTTTTAGAGCAAATCTTTTTATCTATAAGCAGAGCTAAAGGTGTAGCTATGCATCGTTCAAATGTTTTTTAAAATCTCATGCTAGATCACTTGGTGTCTGATGTCATCAACACTGAGGTTAAAAAGCCCACCTACAAATGAACTATTGAAATGAATTAGAAAATACATTAGCCCCCTTCCTCCAGTATGAAGTAAGAATAATTACAATGGATAGCGTTTGCATAGCACAAATTCCTACAAAACAGCAAGCTCAATGTGCTTCACATTCTATATCATTACTCCAACAGTTTCATTTTCCTGGGAAGCAAACTGTGTAAGCTGCCATTTTACAGGCACTAAAACACTAACATACTGACAAGATCTTTTGTTGTCTATGGCCAAGTACCCATGCACACCTGGGGTCAAGTGGGGAAAATTCATGCTACGTGCGTATCCCAAAGACACAACGTCCGGCCTAAGGCTTGAACACCAAGACTCACAACCTCACAATTAAGAGTCCAGTAACCTCACCACTAGACCATTGATGCTAAGATATCATACCCTCAAAAGTTTGATTTCTCCAGTTCTGAGGAAAGGCTGGTGTACTGCCTCTGTCCTCAGCCAGTACAACATAGTCTCAGCCAGAAAAAACAAAGCTGGTATGTGGTACTTCTCCAGAGGAGATACATCAAGCGAAGTGACCAGAGTATCGAGGCATTCTGAGGAAGAAAAACAAAATCCCAAGTACATGTACAGTCAAACCTGTCCAAGACGGCCACCCGTTGTCGAGGAGAAAAGTGGTTATCTTTCTACATAGGTAATCCTATTGGATTGGGTCATTACAATGTATAAACAAACAACAAGGGAGGAGGAAGTGGTTGTTTGTACAGATGATTTTGATTGTTAGAGCAGATTCCACTCTATATATGAAATTGTGAAACAACACATATATTATATATATATGTGTACACACACACACACACA